AGTAAACACGCAAAGACACACATAAACAAATCAGAAGATTGATCCTAGAAATAATTAAAAGATTCAATAAAACAACAGTAAACTAAGCATAAATAAGAGTGTACCAATGCTCGGTTGACAGCACCAATGGTGGGGACAGCAGCTGCCATTGGAGGCTAAAGTGTTAATGCTATCTAATGAGAGTGGAGGAGAGCTCAACGGAGAGAGTGTGGCCTTTGATGAGGAAGGAGCATGGGGCAAAACTCATAGTGATAACTTTTTGTGTGTACAAAAATTAAGGATGTTTTTTCATTTGTTGAAGACCACACAATTAAGATTGCTCATGCATCCACGTGGCAGCTGTTGATTGCCTGCAATTCCAGAGTTCATTCATCCTTGAGGCTACCCCTCAAGGTTGTTTGTTTGCGACTAAAATTTGCTCATTTATTACCAGGGTTTTTAAAATTTTTTTTTTTCATATTTCTTGTTTTTTTTTAAAGAGATAATGAAAGATGAGGTGAAAAACTGTTTGTGATTTCAATTAATTTCATTATTTTTCTCTCAATTTTTGTTGTCACTATTGAAAGTTGGAATGTGAGAGGTTGGCATCCTTCTCGCGGGCCATTGGTGTCCAATTTTAGAAAGAATTTAGGTTGTGAAAGCTATGAAGTTCAAAAAAATCTAAGAGGTAGTGGATAGAATTAACAGAATAAGAATGTGATTTTCTAATTTTAGTTGTTAAAAAAATTTCCAAAGTTTTTCGGTCTTGGAAATAAGAACAAAATATTTTGCTTATAAATGAAAATTCTTTGGAGCACCAAAAAAAAAGAAAGACAGAAAGCAAAAGGAAAGGGGAAATTTTGTAGCAATGAGATGCTGAACCTTAGAGCCCAAACTTTGAGATTTCATGACTTGGAGTCTTGGAAATGTCAGCCCAACAACTTGGCCTAGTTCAGGGCCACAAACTAAACCATTTTGTTTCCCCTCATAGATTATGGAAAAAATGAGGAAAAACTAGGGAAATTGGGGAAGAAAATAAATGGAAACTATCTTTGTCCCTAGCTCTCTCTCTTTTTTTTTTCTCTTTTTCCGTCTGATTTTAGCATCCTACAAGAAATTTAGACAATGGTTACATAATGAAATTGAGTTGTATCATGTATGGCAAAAAAAAAAAAAAAAAAAAAAAGAAAGGTTACACCACGGTTTCACAACTGTTCTTTTGCATTTTATTTGAAGGTAAATTTGACACCCTTTGGATCATAGTTTTTTCAGAAAATTTTAACATCTGGCTTTTAATTTTGAACTGATTCTGATACCAATTGTAATGTTTAAGATTTAGATATTATATTAAAAATATATAAAATATATTAGATTAAGAATATATATATATATATATATATATATATATCAAATGATCTCCCTATTACATATTGGTTATGGGTGGAGATTTTAGCAAAAGAGGTTGGGATTCGGCTCAAGGACAGTTCATATTGAGACCTGGAAAGCATATTAAACATATAATTCTTAAACAAATTAAAAGTCTTGAGATTGAAAAATTGCTAGTAGCCTATCATCAAGTAGGCAAAGCCGTCAGGGCACTTTCTTACAGTCAAGTTGTCCACTTTTCCCCAATTGCAGCAAACATGCAGCACTTGAGAAACAGACTGCAGTCAATTAGTCATCATAACAGATAAAGAAACTTCAAAATTAAATTTAGAGTGGGTTCAGTTGTATGAACTATTCCAGTTCATGAAAATTTGTAACATATTGCTGAACTATTCCAGATACTCCCTGGAAGATATATAATCTTCAGTACCAGTGCTTCTTCTGTTGTTAGCTTTACAAAAATAGTGTTAAATCCATGTATCATCAGAAGTTCAGAACCTTAACCTCCTGTAATTCACATTCGATTCCTGACATTGCTCCATTATTCTTTTTCCTAGTTCCTCAGTTTATGACCTAAACATGGACCTCACACCAGTTATATGTACCAATTAATAATTTTCAACACATAGGTTATTTTCAATAGAAACCTGATAAAAAAATATAATATGAAAACCGTATTTAAGTTTTATGATAATTTATATATTCATATTATATTTATTTTATATCAAACATGTGAAAAACATAAAAATTACCGTGTCAATTCGTATATAGCTGGAACTTCCGGATGGAAAGAAAGAAATTGATAAACTGATCCATGATAAAGAAAGACACCATCATCGAAAGCCGAAAAGGTCCCCTCCACTCCACTCCACTTCACCATCCCCCAACAACATCTCTCTCTCTCTCTCTCTCTCTCAACTTCTCATGCATAAATTTCATTGCAAATGAACAAAAAGACTTCAACAGTTACTGAAAAGACAGAAAGTAGGGAATTCATGTCACTAGTAAACAGCATTTTGTCTCCCTACCTTTCTTTCTCACTTTTTGTACATTTTCCTCTTTTACTTATGGACATAAAAGATAGAGATAATGAGCAAAAGTTGAAAGATAATGAGCAAAAGTTGAATTGAAGCACTTACCTAAACCAACTGTGGCTGATAGGTATCTATCAGCCGAGTTTCTAACTTGGCCCTTGAGATGAGTACTGATCTTCTTAGAAATGTGTTATTGTTGGTGTGGATTAATAAAGTCAGTTAATCCAAACTTAGTTTCATTAGTTAATGTCAAATTAACGAGTAATTGTTGTGGTATATGATATTAATTAAGTATCATCCAATGTTATTTTATACATTGGATCTATAATGTTATGGGTCATTATGTACTAATAAAAGGAGATCCCTACGGATTCGAAGCTGTCTTATTAAATTTCCTAATTTCAGTTTGAAATAAAAGTAAAGGATAATTCTCTATCTTTTCTCTCATTTCAAGTTAATATCAAAATATCCGAGGTACCATCGAAAAGCATGAGATAATGATTTCAATTTTGGTAATGCGAGTTTGAACTCTCGCTCACATTCAAATCAAATTTTGTTTTGGCTTAATTTTATGTAAGTGAAACGTTACTATCCGTCGTAATTAAGTGGCCAACAGCCAAACCTGATTAAATGTTAGAATAAAATATGCATAACAATAGAGAAGGAACACAAACCAACTTTGATAAAGAATTAAAAACGGCATAATTATTGTGAAGTATAATATATCCAGACAAATAGCTATGGTGAGAGGTGCGGTCTATATGCGATCCCTATGCTAGGAATTTATGCATATAAAGCAATTTAATTTTGTTCTCATTAGCTAAAAAGATCAAGTTTTGAAGCCGTAATGCACCAGCTTATGGAACTTGATTTTGACTGAAAGGTTAAAGCAATTATTTCCATAAATTCATCATTCATTCTTCATGAAACCATTGACTAATCGGTGGCCTGTTCCTAGCTACGTGGTGAGAAAAAAAGGACCCCCAAACTATTTTTCTAACAAGCTACTTTCTTCTTTTTCTTTTCTTTAATCTGAAATAGATAAATTATTCAATCAAGATAAGATATATCCAACAAACTAAAAATAATAATTACAAATCAATATGATCTCAACTAAAAACTATCTGTTGAATTCGAATCCAAAACTTTTACATTGAGGAAAAATCCTTTCAATTGAGCCACTAGCTTCGCAGGTGAATTAGTTCGATTAGTGAGAATGGAAGTTTTATGAATGCATCAGATCGATACGGAGATATGTATCTTTAAAATCGCTTACGAAATAAAATAGATCCGAACAAAGCCTAAAGATACCTAAACTAGTATTGATATATATATATATATATATATATATATATAGAGAGAGAGAGAGAGAGAGAGAGAGAGAGAGAAAGAGTACAATAACATGAGAGTAAGTAGTGTCCCCCAGAAGAACATTGACACTGACAAAGTATTTGCACCAATGATTTATTTTGAGTTTGCAATTGGTTCAAAAGAGAACAAGAACAATGATTTCAAGATTTTGAATTAGTATCTGGCACAGTAGAGATTAAATGAACTAGAAAGATTATTATTCTTGTTTACAGCCCTGCCATATAAAGTAAGAAACAGATTATTGTACTTGTTTACATGATGACATTCTTCATTAAGAACACTTTATCTTTCAATTATCTCAAGTTTTTTAGAGCCCTACTAATCACGATGATGATTGAATCTTCCATCAGAGTAGCCTTATTTGTGAAGAATCTTTATGAATAAAGGCCTTTCAATACATGAATTAGGAGAACTTTCCAAATATAAGAAATGTTAATGTAGGCCACAATGGAGACCCAAAAGAACAAGCATTCAGCTAAAGTGATAATGTCGATGTAGTCTGCTGGTAAAGTACTGTACTTTTAGTTTCAATTACCACAGTTCGAATTCATGATATCCCTTAGGCTTAACAAAAAGAACTTCTAAACTTTTTATTTATGGTCCATTTAGATGGGCAGTAACATTAATTTCAGTTAAATTAAAAATAATGATAAAGGTGAAATTAATTATTATAGTAGTAAAATTAAAATTAGTGATGAGATATCTGTTTGGATGCAAAAATAACGATAACGATAAGATGAATTATAATAAAAAAAAATGACCATTAAATATACTAATTTAAAAATAATTAATAAATTATTTTTTATTTATATTTTAATATTATTTAACATTTAATATATTAAAAATTTATTCAATCAAAATATTAATATATATTAAATTATGTTAAAAAAATAATTAAAAATTTAAGTATTAAAAACTATTTTTATCTATTTATTTTTAATAAACAATGCCTTAAATGTCAAGGATATTTTTGTCCTTGCACTGTATTTTTAAGGATAAAAAAGAAACAAAAAAATTTAAATAGGGATATTTTTAGAAATAAACGCTGCGGTGAGTTTGAAAATTTTCACCGCACTCTAAAGGGTCCCGTCACAAACTGAAGATGCAGTGCAGTTGATAAACACCAAGCGCACTGACCCATGTTATCCAAATGCAAAAAATGGTGCGATTAAACTCATAAAGTGCTTCAATCGCACCTCACCACGGCTTCGGTAGAATCCAAATGAAGCCTTAGTTATGGTTATAAAGAGCAAACCTTAAAACTTCTTGTAATTCCTAAACAAACCAGCCCTACCCTTTGGCACTGCAGAAAATATATCATTGACATAGATAAGTGTAAAAGCTGAGGAAAATGTCAGGGCTTGGATCTTCATGTGGAGCATGTAAATTCCTGAGGAGAAAGTGCACAACCGAATGTGTATTTGCGCCTCACTTTTGTTATGATGAGGCTGCAAATCACTTTGCGGCAGTGCACAAGGTGTTTGGTGCTAGCAACGTTTCGAAGTTATTATTACACCTACCGATGCATAATCGAAGTGATGCTGCTGTTACTATATCTTATGAAGCACTGGCTCGACTGAGGGACCCCATACACGGTTGTGTTGCTCATATCTTCGCCCTTCAGCAACAGGTTTCAATGCTGCTACTGTAACTTCTCTTCAATACCTGTACAATCATGCTAATACTTATCCGATTTCTCTTCATCTTGCAGGTTGCAAACCTACAAGAGGAGATAGAGATTCTCAATAACCAAATGGCCAATCATGCAGTTGAGTTTCCCGGCTGTGGAAATCATCAAGCAGCTGTTAACTCAGATGGTAAGAAACAGTCTACTTCACTGCATGAAACCATGAACACACTCTATTATCAAGATGAACAAGCTACACTACCCAACCATCCAGGATTTATGACTGGAAATCAAATTCTCGATAGTCAATTGTGTGAATCATTCCCAGGTTCATACAAAAGGGAAGACCAAAACATTCTTTGTACCTTGTACCAAAATCCTCCGGAGATAAAATTGGAAGGAGTGGAATCAGGAATCCTCATAGATTATCCATGCATGGGAAACAGTGGTGCCACCGCAAACAGGAAAGGTCCAAGCTGGAAGTAGATTCCAGCTTTCATAACAAGGAATTGGTCTTTTAATGTAAGAACCATGTCTCCACAAGGGAATGTTTTGTACCGGGAATGATGTAATTTATGTTAGATTACTATGATTCTTGTGATGAATGTTTTATGTTTGTTAATTCTAATCTGAATTTCCAAGTATCTGATGTTTATAATTGGAAGATCATCTCAACTCTTTTGATTCTTATATCAATTTTGGAATAAAAAGCAACCAAATTGGGAAGCTATTAAAAGAGAAGATGAAGCATGATCTTGCTATTAAGGATGTTACAGAACAGAGAAGCATGATAATGGCAAAGGCAAAGTCCAAACAGGAGATGCATGAACTTACAACGAATCCAGAGGTAAAAAGAAGAAACAAAACGCCCTATCACTATTACGGCAGAAGTGACTTGTTCTGTTTCTGATTTTGTTTGGATGCTTCTAAATGGATTAGATCAGTAGCCATCAAGAGATTTTGGGCTCATGATGTCGGTCAAGTAAGGTCAGGCTTCCCTTGGGCTTGGGCGTTTCTTGATCATGTTTTACTAGTTCAAACACGAAGAGAATTGACAACATCAACAAGGCTCTGGCTGAGGCCTGAGGCATAGCGGCATGACGTCTATAGTTAATTGCCACCACTGACCATTTCCTAACACAGATCCATTCACATTGAAATGGTAAACCTCCATTGAATTCCCATCAAAAGAAAAAAAATTCCCATCAAAATCAACAAAATCACAATATGTGAAGGAGGTCTAGGAATGAAAAAATCTAATCCATTTCTCGTTTTTTGATTTGACCCAATTTTATAAGATCAATTTTTTAAATTGAGGTTATATATATATATTATTTATTTAATTTTATATTTATAAATATTATATTAACAAAATTATTATTTAATATTTTAATTAAAGATATTAACTTAACAAAAATATTATATTTATTTATAATTAAAATATAATTTATGTTAAAAAATATTTTATAAATATTATATTAAATTAAAATTATTAAATTAATTTCGAATCAAATCAATTATAATTATATATATATGAATAGGATCAAATATTAAAAAAATAATATTTTAATATCGGATTCAAATATAAGTTTTATGAAATTAGATCGAAACCAGAAAAACCGACCGAATCAGTTGCCATTTCTAGGGTGGCAACGGATCATGTTTTACGAAATTGGTCTTGGTGTTTCTTGATCGTGCTTTATTAGTTCAAATACAGAGAATTGCCAACATCAATAAGCCAAGGCTCTGAGGGAGGCCTGAGGCATAAGGGCAAGATTTCTATAGTTAGTTGCCACCACTGACCTTTACCTAACAAAGAACCGTTCACATTGAAATGGTTAACCCACATTGAATTCCCATCAAAATTAATTATCAAAAGAAAAAGAAAAATTCCCATCAAAACCACAATATCTGAGGGAGATCTAGTGATGGCAACGCTATCTAATCGGTGAATTTTGATAGATCCAATTTTATAAGATTTTTTAAATCAAATTTTGAGTTGAGTTGAATTTTTTTTAAAAAAATAAAGATTGAATTAAAATTAAATTTTAAATAAATCCATACTGACGATTCTATATATATATATATATATATTGTATATAATTTTTTATTATTTATTTAATTTTATATTTATATATTATTTTAATAAAATTATTATTTAATACTTTAATTTAAGATATTAATTTAATAAAAATATTATATTTATGTATAATTAAAATATAATTTATATTAAAAATAAAATTTTATACATATTATATCAAATATAAATTATTAAATTAATTTTGAATTGAATCGGATCAATTACGATTTTATACATATTATTAAAATAAATTATTTCATATCTAATAAATTTTTAATATATTATAATTTTATATTCAAATTAAATCTCATTACTTACTATTAATTAATTTTAAATTAAATATTTAATATATATATATATATATGAATAAAAATCAAATATAAAAAATAATATTTTGATGTGAAAATCGAAAACCTACCCTGATCTACTTCGTTGTCCTCTCTAAGAAAATCAAACAGACAAATCTTCAAGTTGCCAGTTGTACATATAATGTAGCTTTCAATTATCATACGCATGCATCCAAAGATTTGACACATTTCCTAAAATGGAAGGACCATGAAAACACCAAATTTAGCTGATATTATATATATATATATATATATGTATGTATATATCCCACTTGCCCATCTCTCCACTCATTCCTACGCTCTGAAAAAGGGAAATAGGATCTTGATTTGAATACCGTTTGGTATTGAAAATTATGTTTTAAATTTTCGGACCACTCAAAAAATTGAAATAATAACATACATAAAATGTTTTTAACTATTATTAATGAAAATAATATAATATATTTTCTAAGAATCGATTGGGTTATTAACACAGAGCCCCTTATTACTTGATCAAGTAAAATGCTATCCCAATTCCTCCCCTCTTGATATCTGATCGAGTATTTATTTAATAGTACATGCATACATATTTTTTTAATTATTTCAAAAAATATCGGATTCAAATTTTTTATCATAATTCTATCTTATATATGTTAAATATTAAGTTTTATATAATTTTATATTTAAATTGAATCTCTGTTAATAAACTTGTTTCGTGGTTGATTTTTTAAAACTAAAAAAAAAAAAAAAAACCCTTTCTATGTCACAAGATGTTTCTCCCTTTAATTGCGCAATGGGAAATTAAAAACTGAAAATGATAGAAAAAGATCGTGAGACATGACTTGAATGATATAAAAAAGCAGTCTACATTCTTCCCCTGGAAATGCAACATCAAGGCCAGAGGTAAAATTTACCTGAAAATGGGCAACTTAATCAACTTTTTGAATAGCTATCCACTTCAAAAAGTGCATCAGCAGAAATGATTCATCAAAATTTCAATGACTCATCAGATAACGTTGAGCAAAGTGCCCATCCAATTTCTTCCTAGTGCCTAAGAATGTTTGAATTTAAACACAATTCATGAGCATGTTTGCGTTAGTTTGGTAGAGTAGGATTGACATTTTAAACATGAAATCAAGTTGGTTTGAGTTGAGAACAAAACTAGTTATCTACTTGTTCCATATATTTTCAATAACTACTACCATAGAAACATGTTCTGATATCAACAACCATTGACTAAAAGCATATAAAAAGCAACACGGTTGGCATAAGTAGTTAAGGTTTAAGGCCTAAATGTAAAGCACCCAGATTCAAATTCCCACACGGTCCCCTGCCGAGGTTTAGCGTCTAGATGCAAAGCACCCAGATTCAAATCCCCACACGGTCCCTCGTTGGCAGGCCATCTGTAAGTTCAAAAACTCCCAAAGAATCCGTAAATCTCCTTGTGAGTTGGCGACTTGCCCTAACTTACATACCTTACAGATGGGTAATCTCCCTTTCTCCTAAGCTTGTCTTGACAAAAAAAAAAAAAAGAAACAAAGATATAAAAAGAAACAAAAAAGAGTGCTTCAAATTCATATTTAACTAGCCCAACCTATAGTTCAAATCAACACTGTTAACGTATGGGCAATGGTCTTACTAAATACTCAAAAACTATAGAATTATGTATAATCTCTTCATGCTTTATATATAGGGGGCAATTGTCATAGTGACATAGCCATATTAACTTGTAAAACTCCATCAAACTAAAATGACAAATCAACATAATATATTATTATGACAAACATCCTCTCAATTCTGAAGCCAACTCTAATATTACTGAGCTAACAGTTCATTCGTATATATAGTCTCTTCAACTAGCAAACATGATGACAACTCGCAAATGATAAATTCAAACTAATATAAAAAATTAGGCAATCAACTCTAAGACAGAGACACCAATAATCCCATAAGTAAAGGGCATTGGAGAAGCATATATGAAACAAATTCAGAAGTCTAAAATGCTACAAATGAGGCAATTAACAAACAAAATAAGCTGTAGATTTTATCAAAACCAAATTGGAAATATGCAATATAAGCTACGTAAAATCCAAAATTGACTTACGGATTTCTGAACTTCTAATTTAGCAGAAGATAGTATCATTGCCTTTTTGTTTTTTTTTGTTTTTTTCTTACTGTAATGGCATTAATTCTAGCAGTATCTTCATTTTTTCCTTTAAAAATTGGTAGAAGTACTAATAGTAGAAGCAGCTTTTGATATAGCCAATTGTTAGTTTGAGATGCTCCTAGAGGGAATGTCAAATATGGCAAATAAAAGCTTAGCTTAGTAGGTACCAAGTGGCATCCGACAGGTATAGAATTCGAACCCTAACACTTGCAACTCTTTTTCATCCTGAACTAATTCCTTGGTACCCAAAAAATGGCAAATAAGCACCCAAAGATCCACAGTTAAGTGGTACCCTACGAAGCATTTTGAAGTTAAAATTTTCAAGCAGTACTGAAACTCCCTATTTTGTGGAAATGCAGCTGAATCAGCCCCAACTGTTTATGCCCCTTGTCTCCCTATCAGCTACTCAAAGTAAAGTTTTTTACTCAAAGCTCTGCCAAACCTAATTAGATATTGGTCTTCAACACATTGAAATCTCCCATTTAAGGTTCTCATCACCATTAATATTGCTCAATTAAAAAAAGAAAAGCATAAATTATTGAGAAATGAAGATAAGTTTTAACAGTTGCATACCATGAAAAGAATCTTCTGACCTTGCAGCAATTTTCAGTATCCCTCAATTCACTGTCTTCACCTTTCCTTCTTTTCCTACATCATCAAGATGCATTCCTCCAAGAAAGCTCATCAAAACAAAGTTAAAAGTTATACACCAAAACAATTTGCTAAATAGGAATTTCATTTCTTTGCGTACATCATTAAAATATACATTGCGGGTACACCAAAAGGCTTCTACAAAGTTCTACAAAAGCTGATCCAAAACATAGTTAAACCTAACCATGAACTTGATTAAATTCACAAAAGATCTGAAACTAACCAAAAAAGTCCTACCTTTCTGCCTGTACTTACATGGAAATTGTCATTACATTTTTTTGCACAAAACCAGTCAGCATATTCAAACCACCATCTCCAGTCTCTCCACCTTCACCTCTATCTCCAATCCATTCCTCTTTCATGCTAATAAGACGGCGGTGGATGCGGTGGAGGACCCCAAAACATAACATGAGGCAAATTATACAAAGGCATTGAACCACCTTGCTGATTATCATCACCAAAACCTTGAGACTGAGACCCCGAATTTCCACCACCACTGCTACTATTACTATTGTTATTATTACCTTGCTGCTGCACCCCAATCCCCTCGCCGCCGCTGCCTTCTCCTCTCCCATCGGTATCATCATCCTCTATTGGCAACCTCTCATAAACAGCATTCGTAAACGTGGCCACGATGACCATCACCGGCCCTGATGCTACCAGGGTTTCAACTCCAGTCCCTCCCACCACCTGCCCTTGGCCACCAGCTAAATACACCGTCAGCCCAGTAGCCCCAGGAGGAGATGGCACGGGCAAATACGCACCGGTTAAGGATAAAATCTCGAATCTTCCATGTAAAGTGAACACTCCACCAGGGGCAGCTGGTTGGCGGAGGGTAACATTGGTAACAATACCAGTGCCACTTAAAACAGATACGCCACAGTGGCGGCGCTGAGCGAAATTAGCTAGACACTCAGCAACGTCACTACCACTAGTGATTTCCAATACATGGCTACGGAGAGAATTAGGGCTTTCATTGGTGATAACAATGGGAGGCTTTGGTTTGTTCTTTGAACCAGGTGGCCTACCTCTAGGACGGCGAGAGGCTGAGCTTGAACCAGGTTCAATGGTTTCAAGAGCAAGAGTTCGGTCATCAGGTTCAATGCCTCGGCTATCTTCATTATCTTCTTGCTTTTGGTTGGGGCAGCTAGTGTTGCCATTGGTTGGGCTACTGTTATTATCTCTAAAACCTCGGTTTTCTCGTCTGGGTCCAAGGTGGTTCAAAGCTACTTGGTGATCTTCTCCAGATGGGTTTCCATGGTGAGGAGATGGAGTTGAAGTTATTGAACCAACACCTCTCATTGCCACATTTCCAGCCCACCAACGATTAGCCATATTCAAAACAAGAAAAAAAAACACTTTTTTGGGGGATCAAAGCAATAAATTAAGATGGAAAATAGGAAAAGAAAGCCAAAATGAATGGGACCTTTCCTTTGTTTGCTGTAGTTGAGAGAGATCCCAAATCTGGTTGACACAATCCAAAATCTTATCTATTCTTCAAAACCCACATCACCATATTGCATGAATCAGAGATTACAGATATAGGTTCCTCTTGTTTTTTCATGAAAAACCCTAACCATTAACTCAAAATCAGACCCAAAAACCATTCTTTTCTTCAACAAAATCCCACCTTTTGTAAACCCTTCCTAAGAAAAAAAAATCTTCAAGCTCCCATTTTCAAACTTCAAAAATGATCCAGAAACTCGGAGTACTTGGTGGTGAAGGTAAAATATGCTTAGCTTTTTTTTTTCTAGGACTGAACATAAAAGGATTGTTTGAGGAAAAAAGGTAAACTTTTGATGTACCTCCTCTCACTCTCTTTACAGAGAAATAACCAAAATTAGCTACTATATCTCTCGGCTCATTACGGCAAACTCTCGCTTGTTTTCAGGATAAAGGTTGGTCCTCTTCTTCAGTTTTCCCTTGTTTGCTGTTTCAGAGCCTGATCCAGTTGGCTATTTTTAGTCTCGTTGCAAGTACTGTACTTTAAAGCTAGCATCTGACTCTCTTTCTCAGTTTATTTTAGGTATAAAATCGATTTCTGTGTCCAAAACCCCATTTTTTCTAACGATATAGCGGTTTCGCAGAGCCTGGTTTCGCTTTGCTTCCCTGGTTTCTTCTGTTTTTTCACAAGGTTTTTCAAACTAAGCCCCATCCAACAAGTGGTCCGGGCGTGGCCCGGTGGGAAGCATTTATAATCTACATCTACAAACTTGCAAAACCATCATCAATAAATTGTAACTGTTCATCTTTGATGGTATCTTGTGGTTGATTTTGAGCTTTTGTAGTGAAGGAGAGTGCGTTGGTAATGACCAAGTTTCAAGCCCCAAGTTGCATAGGCTCTTATAAGCCACATCTCAAATCATTTCAACTAAAATTTTGGATAAATGCATCAAATTATTTATTTTAATAATTGTTGCATGATTTGTTTCATTCAAAGAATCGTCTTCCATTTTCAATATAAACCTATGCAATGGAAGCATGCACCTAAAGAAAACCTATACAGCGAGCAAGCTATAATGATTTGGTTAGGGATACTTTTGGGTTTAAAAGATAAATTAGGGTTTTTTCATTAAAGATTATTGATAGATAATTAAAAGTATTTTTTATTTTTAGATCAATTTAATATATCAAATCAATTTGATATTTATAGTGCTACATCAATTTAATCATATCATTAATTTATTTTATAGATCTTTTATTTTTTATTTATAAATAGAATTACTCAGATATTATATATCTAGTCTAATTTTTTCTTTTACTTTCATATTTTTTTCCTTTTAATTTTTCATATTTTGTCTTTTAATTTGATCGTTAAAGTGTAAATGCAAGGAATATGAAACATTTTCTGCTTTTATTCTTAATTTTTTTTTTTGTGATTTTAAGATCCACACGTTGAATTTAGAGTTCGACACCAATAATTTTCATATTATGATCATCAGGTAATGATGATGATGATGAAGTGTTTAAGATGAAGTTTATGGGAGGAATGGGTGCATGGGAATGTGGCAAATAAAGTTGATCGAGTTTACAACTACAATATTGAAAACGGCTCTTAACCTTTCTTAAGAGCTAAGACTAATTGCAAAAGAGTGTAACCATTTTTCCATATCTCCCAAATGGTGTGGGGTAACGTGCGCCTGAGAGAGAGAGAGAGGAACAAGAAAGAATAAGATGAGAGGTTGGTGGTGGGAACACATCATTGTCTTGAAGTCCCAACAAAGCATCGAATGCCAAGACAAAGAGAGAGAGAGCCGGGAACATTTTACTTAAAAAAAAAACTAAACCCATAATTTTAAATCCCACATCGAAATAAGAGATAAAAATATTAAGATTAATTTATATTAGAGTAAAATTTTTTAATTTTTAATTTTTTAATCATTAATTTTAACGAATTCTTATAGAGATAAATAAAAAATGTTTAATTTTATTAATTAAATTTATTAAAAAAATATTAAATTAAAAAATTTTATAATATGTAAATAATCACTCTCTAAAAATATTAATTATTAAAGTGATGTTATTTACATGTAATAAATATTTAATTTCATATAATTTTATATTTAAATTAAATCTTTTTATTTATTGTCAATTAATTTTAAATTAGATGTATAATATTGATATTAAAAAAATTAAAATAATATAAATTAAAATTTTAATAAAAATAATGGATAAATATAATATAATAAAATAAAAAATATATTTTATGTTAATGCGTAACATAAAATTAATATAATAATTTTTTATATAATATATATATTTAACATAACATAAATATATAAATTATCAAATTACTAAAAAAAATACCAAACTTTGCTTAGCTAAGCAGCCAACCACCAATGTTCTTCTCTTCCAAGTCTTTTACTTTAAATCTCCTTCAGTCAAACGATGTTTTTTGGGTCTATTCTTGCGGCCTGCCTGTCTGCGCTGCACACCTATCTATTGCTTTGTTTTGTTCCCTTTTTGGATCTTTTCTTGCGTTTCTTTTTTGGGTCACCAAAGCATTTTAGGATAATAGCTTCTCCCTAACAACAAAAAAAAAAGTTGCCCTAGCATAGGTTCTACATGTTTCTATACATGGAATTCTGACAAATTGGATTGAAATCGAAAAAGCATCTTTAATGACATGTGAATGACATCAAATTAAAAGGGCTATATAATTTTAATTACATTTAGTAATTTGTATAAAATATTAATATTTTTATATTTATTTGATATTTTGTATAAAAATTATGTGTTAAAATTTATATTAACATTAAAATATAAAATATTTTTTTAATTAAATTTATATAATTATTATTAAAATTTTAAATCGTATTACTTTCCTATCATATATTTATTTTATGTGCATATTACATTCATATTATATTATTGTGTGATGTTTTATATCATTAAATCAAATTTCAATCATCACCTTCCACTTTTTTTTCTCTATTGTTGTTGAAAATTTCATGTTAGTTAGATAATTTCTTTAGGCTCATATCATGGTAACATATAACATACCCAAAGAAATTACCCATTGACACGATCAATATTTTTAAATTTATTATAATTTTTTAAAAACAAAAGTTCACTATGATACTTATCATTTTTCATAAATTTACTATTGAAATGAACAATCTTACTAATAGATATGTACTTAGATCATTTGTATATTCCAAAATTTAACCTTAACTTTAAAAGTAAACCCAATTTAAAAATGCAAAAAAAAAAAGGAAAATTTGTAATTAATAGAGGTAATTCCATTAAATTCCAACTTATTTTACATGTAAATTGAACAATGATATGCATGTTTATAATTCCCACTCACAACCTATATATTACAATTATATATTTAACAATAATTATGATAAAGAATCCAATTTAAAATTAATTGATACTTAACTAATGCATAGATAATATTGGGCCTATGCTTTAGTTTTAGAAACAAATCATAAACTATATTTGGACCTAACTATTGGTCTAACAAAACTCAACGTTGGGCTCAATTTGGACCAATCATGAGTCGAGCAAAACTCATAGTTGAGCTCATTTGATTGGTCAGCCAAACTCAGAGGCCCAATCTCGAACTACAACATTTGGACCCAACCATGGGTCCAGCAAAACTCAGAGTTGGGCTTAGCCATAGACAATTTGGACCTATGTATCTGACAAGCTCAGATCAATCCAACAGAAACTTAAAATTGCCGCGTGTCAAATCTCAACTAACCAATCCCTGGTCCTTGAAGGCTGAAGCTGATCAGAAGAAAAAAAAACATAATCATTATCCACATCTGCACATAGCATCGTCAGAACCCAACAAAAATTCCTCAAACATGGCTCTTCTCTGTCATTTTAACAATGTTTCTTTTCCTTCCAAAAGTTTCTCCGTAAAAAAACCACCAAAGTCCCCTCTTCGTTTCATGAAATCTCACTCTTTTTTAAACTGTCATGCTCCCAAGGTACATTTTACAACCCTTTTTCATTGTGATTTCTTTTTATTTTTTGGTTTTTTGGGTTTGTTTTGGTTGATTTAAGGATGTTTGTTTTGTTCAGGTTTTTGAGGAAAAGCTTGAAAAGGTTTCTCTTTCTTTAGGAGAAATGTTTTCTAAGGCTAGCTTGCTTGCTATTGTTTCTGCTTCTATTTTCTTGGTAGATCCTGCACTTGCTTTCAAGGTAAATTTTCAAAATTGCAACTCTGGTAATCCTCTCTTTTACTTGCATGAGAAACAGTATGTTCTTGAAAGAATTGCAAAACCTTTGTCATCAGAATTCAGCACAAGAATTTGATCCACCTGACATTGGTTTGTTTGTTACAATCTTAGCCATTGCTAGCCTAAATATGATGTTCAATCATTCATCTGCTAGCCTAATTCAATGAAAGTTTAATTCAGATTTGTTATCTATGTCTTTTGTTTCGACGATGTGCATTTTTAAAAGGGAGGAGGCCCTTATGGAGCTGAAGTGACAAGGGGACAAGACTTGACTGGTAAAGATTTTAGTGGCAAGACTTTGATCAAACAAGATTTTAAGACGGTAATGCTTATTTCAGCTAATTGATCTGTATGTGTCAACGTGCGCATATTTGAATTTCAATGCTTTAAGCTCATTGAGTGTGTTTGTCCTCCATTTCAGTCCATACTACGACAAGCCAATTTCAAAGGCGCAAAGTTGCTCGGTGCTAGCTTCTTTGATGCTGATTTGACAGGTTTCCCCAACTATGTTGTGCATTTCCCTCTTTGGAACATATAAGCTAACTTGATTACATCACTTCCGTAAGGCACACAGCTTCAATTAAGAACTTGATATGATTTCTTTGCTGCATCATCAAATTAGTTACTGGTTTAGAAATCTTCTTAATAGGAACTTGCCACGGTGATTGAAGAATTCCCTATATTCCTATTGTTTCAAGGCCTTGAAGCAGTTAGGAACTTTGAAACATGCGACCATCATATGGTTGGAATATCTGTATTATATGAGCTAAGGCCATGAGAAGTTGAAAACTTAGTTTATCCGAGCGACCTCCATTTGCCTCACTGCAGAATGCAGACCTCAGCCTTGCAGTCAACTAACGCATGCCTCACTGATTTATGGCCTAGGGTTGTATCAATTTTAATGGAAACTAACAACTGTGGTTCATTCCTAATGCTTAGTAAAGTGAATGTAGTTTGGTTAACTCTGCCTCTATGTTGAATCGGCAATGACATTTTATCATGTGTCACTTCTTACAAGGCTGAGGGTCCTGAGCTACTAAAAATGAAGAGAGTAAAGCATAATCAAAAGTTAATTTTGGTATGGGATGTTCTTATAAATCCATTTGAAATATTGAGAAGAATCGGATGTAGGTTCTGCAACATGAAGTTCATGACAATTCTGTCAGCATATGTTTCAGATAAGTGCATGCCTGCAATTCTAGAAGAACATGCAAATCTTTGGTATTTTTTATTATGTATCCCATTGATTTGTTCGCATAAATGAAATAAAGTACGGTTTAAAATATGAAAAAAAAAACGTAATAATCACTGTTATTCCTGCTGTCTATATGCTTGTTGACTATCATCCTTGATCCATTACCTTAATAAGATTATTTATATATGAAACTATTCAATATCATTTATATGTCGAACTCTTTGTTCAAAACTTTTTCCTGCTCATGTTTTAAGTGGTTATGATTTAACCAACATTGATTTTGTAACATTTTGCAATGATGCAGGGGCTGACCTTTCAGATGCTGATCTTAGAGGTGCAGATTTTTCTTTGGCAAATGTAACAAAGGTAATCTTTTATCACATCTTAGGTGCATTAGTTTTCCTTGTGGAAAGATCTTTTAAATTCATATTGAGCCACATCTGTTATCAGACAGATAACTTATTGTTCTATCAGATGATCTCATCTTATGAACCTTCGCGTCGATCCTACTGCAGGCAAATTTAAGCAATGCTAACTTGGATGGTGCGCTTGCTACAGGGAACACGTCGTTCAAAGGATCAAATATAACAGGTGCCGGTACGTAAAAACACCATTTTGCTGCAACTTTCATGTCAGTGCAAAGCCCACAGTGCATTGCATACACACATCCTCTAGTTTGATGAACCGTGCTTCATCGGTACTTCAAAACCATTTGAGTAATTTCTTCAATTTTAAACGAATTTCAGCAAAATAAGTACTAGTGTGAAAAAGGAATCACACCAACACAGTTCAAACAAGAACTGAAACTCTTCAGGAGAACGTCATCCTCAAAAGCTTCACATTTGAGCGCTCATGCAAATCTTATTATCCCACAATTGGTCAATTTAGCTAAGTTATCTTTGTATGATTAGATTTCACAGATGTGCCTTTGAGGGACGACCAACGCGAATATCTTTGCAAAGTAGCAGACGGGTAAGATGGCAAATACCTCTAAGACATATACTTGTCTTTCAATGCATGTTTGATGTTTCCATTACTACTGAAATGATACCTTGTGGCATCAGGGTGAATCCATCTACCGGAAATGCAACGCGGGACACGTTGCTATGCAACTAGTACTGCATTTCTCAAGTATGAGCTTCTAGTGAAAAATAGAGCATTGGCACTGCGGCTGTTTTGATTTGAGGTGTGTGTGTGTTGCTGTAACAACTGTGTCATGTAGGATCAATCATATAATTTTTGTCTTGCCTCCCTTGTTGAAGATGCATACACTTGATTTGTACAATAAAGTAAAAAACTCATCATGTTCATCATGCATGACCGGCCATGCATCATCATCAACTCTTAATAATCCTATTAAGAAAACCAGATTTAAAGTCCATTTGGTTAGGCGGTGAGAGTCTCTTTCCCTGAAATATCGTTTCAACACGAAACATAAGATGTAGCCATGTCGAAACAGATTTGCAGTCAAGATCAATATGAACTTAACATGGTGTTGATCGATAAGATATTACTAGTTTATGCCTTTGAGAGTTTAACCACCAAGCCAGCTATAAGAAAGAGACTTGCTTGAGAAATCTGTGCTTGATTCTATGAGAATATTTAGTACCTTTTATGTCTCCATAAATTATTACTCTTCAAATTAATATAATAAATCTGTCAGTTTTCATTTCCAGACCAAAATTCCTGAAAAATTCTCACCAAAGGTCTAATTCAAGAATAACCATTGTACATCAATCTGAAAATATATATAGCTCGACCTATGGACAGGTTTAATCATATCATACCTAATTTTATCGCGTACCATACATATCACTTTCTTTCTCCATCAGCTAACATATTTATATTTAATTTTTTTATATACGCCTTCATTATTGATCTATATTTATAATTTTAACTCAAATTTTTTAAGTAATTGATTTATAATCAAGTCATAAAACTTTGATATATGTTTCCTTCTCGTAACAAGTTGAAGAGTGAAGACATTTTAGGTAGAACCTAACAGTACAAGACAATTTGTTTGGAGTTTTTATTATGTAAGAAAAGGGCTAAAGTCTTCAATAGTCAATGATTCAGATTATTAAGCGCTATTTGTTAATTTTGCTTTCTCTCTTACTGTTTGAGCTTTTGGAATTATGCAAAATCTTGACCTAATAGCTACCACACAAAAAAATAAAATAAAATAAAAAATTGTGGAGGTTGGAGTTATTTGAGTCTTGGCTATGCATATGTCAAGGAATCATTTCTTTGCTAGTTCAAGGTAAGGACCTTGATGATGAGATTATGTCATCCTCCATAGCTAACTAAGCTTTCATTTTAATTCAAGAAAACCCTATTTCAATTAATTACTTGGCTTACCTAACAATCAATCGAGTTGATAGGTAAAATAATTGAATGTAACCCTTAAACTAGACCTGTTCGTGGATCGGGTTATCCATTAATTTTCGGATTGAATAGAATTTAATCCATTCAAATCACTATTTAATGAATAACAAATATTTTAATACTTTTGAATAATAATCGATTTTATTCAAATTTGATGAGTTGAACGGAACACTGGATAAAAAATTTCAAAAGCCAATCAAGCTCAATCTGACTCATGGACAGATATTATGTAAAAGATGAAACTTTGTGCCATCTCATGTATGTTACCCCTCTCAATTCCAAAATTCAACCAATTACTTAGCAAAATTGCAAAATGATGCCCTCTCTTATATTGTGTATCAATGCCATTGGACCACTAATACTTGGTTTTATCAGTTTTGTTTGTAGAATAAAATCAAAGGAAAAAGCAAATATTTGGAAGCATATAAAGTTTAAAAAATAATCACAAATAAGGTTTTAAAAACTTTTCAAAGTGTCATAAATCATAACAATTGCTCTAATATAAAGTCTCACTATATATGACATCAAAACAGTATTAGGAACAAAACCAGTTAATTTCACTTATAAAATCAAATGATCTGAGTACAAAACTGGCCCAACTGAGTCAACAGCAAAGGCCATTCAAATTTATTAACATTATAAAAAAAAAAAAAAAACATTTTTTTCTTTAGTACTTTGGTGATCAATCCATCAAATAAGCTAATGAGGTTGGCTTGTCAGTTCTCAATTGTTGGTCTTCCCTTTCTTTGGATGGTTGTTCAAGGAAGAAAAGGAGGGAAAATCCAAGAGTTACATTTAATTAAACAAAATATAATATGAAAAGACTAATTTATCCTTTTTAAAGTTTTTTATTTTTTTTTGGCAATTTTTTTTGAAAACCATAATCCCTTTTTCATTTTTGTGATGTAAATACATCAAAAATCATAAAATAATATAAAATCACAATCTAAAATTTTCGTAAAAAATTAACCTTAAAAAAATTAAATTATAAAAATATTTTTAAAATATATTTTAATAATTTTACACCTTTCGATGTGTTTATATTTTGAGACATATTATATAAACATCTTTTGTTTGTTGATATGTTGTTTGAAGAACATGCCCAAACTCTTGTTGGTGTACATTTCTCACAATCATTTGACTTGAAAACTTTGGATTATTGATTGTATCATTCTATGTCACTTCAGGTAAAACTTAGTTTAGTTCGGTTCCAATACAATGCCTGATTAATAATATAATATAAAACTTGAAACTTTCAAATTAAAAGTTTTACATTTATCAATCTGCAGGTTTGAAATTTATATTTCAGTATTTGTAATTTCTTTTTCTATTCTCAGTCTACTATTTTTTTATACTAAAAAAGCTTTAAATTAGATCATTAGCAGAGAAATAAAATTTATGAAACTGAAATTCTTTTTCCATTGTGTGGGACTCAAGATTGGGCACACATTCACATTCATAAAATGGAAACACTTGAAAATTCTGAACATGTTCAAGGGATCTAATTCAAAAGTTAAACTTTATTATGTTATAATAATTATATGATTGTTATGTTTTACTTGCTTCAAAAGAATCAAAACAGAATGATTGGAAACCCTGAAACATTTTTTTATTATAAGTTGAACACGTTTTATATCAGTCTTTATATATATATGTCTTTCTTGTCTTGTCTGAAATAGTTTCTAATCGGATTGGTACATATGGTGATCTTCAGGAATTAATTTAAATTTGAGGTTTCAAGTTGGAATTTTGGAATATTGTAAATAAGGCAGATGAAAGAAAAGAATATGAGAAAAGAGTTAATTTTAGTAAAGCAAAGATTTTTTTTTTTAAATAAGATTTTAGACGGAGTTTAAGAATATTATTTGTGTTGAATTCCGAGCTAAAGGTAAGGTTTTGAAATCATGAAAGAAAGAAAGCAATTAAAAATAAAGACAAAATTTGTTTTTTGAATTTGTGCTTCGATACTTGAATCAAAAATCAACTAAAAAAGATATAAACATCTAAAAGAGGTTAGAAAGAAAAGCAAGTTGGAAACCAAAGAAAAAATTAGATTAAATTAGATAGAACTTGGATAGCTTTATTTATAAGCAAAAGGTAAGGGTGCATGGGTAAAGATAGTGATGTAGTCGAGTTGATATGACATTGTATGTGTCAGATCAATTTAACATATCAAATCAATTTAAAAATTAAAAATATTTTCAGTTACTTGTTGATATTTTCTAATGAGAAAAAAAATTAATTTATTCTCTAAACCCAAAAAAATGACTTTAATAGATACGAGAAAAAATTGCATTTGCCAACATTTGAATATCAAATTTATTGAATATCATCTTTTAAAAATTATCGTATAAACAATTAAATTTCGGATTCAAAATCTTGACCATGCTAAAAGGAAAAAAAAAAAAAAAAAGGAAAGAGTTACTTTCAGTTTGTTTAAACCAATCAAACAGAGCTTAATGTATTAATGACCGTTAGCTCTTTCACACATGTGGATCAACGTTTGACAGTTACTCCAAAATGGGACCCTTTGAAGACATTGCCAAAATAATACCATGTAAACAATGACTGCGTATCAAATCAGCTAAAAAGCAAGCAAGTAGCTTCACTGGATGTGCCAAAGCATAGCAGAACAAAATAAACCCCCCAAAAGCTAGCAACAAGACCTTTTCAGCTCAGCCTTTTTCTGCTTTCTCTCTAGATTCTCAAGTAGTTTTCATGTATTCAATGGTTTTATATACATATATATGTGTGTATATATATATATATATATATATATATATATTATAAGAGGCAGCATTTTGAGAATAAGGGAAGAAGTTGTTAATGTTAGGATTCGAACTTCAGACTTGTCGGATGCCGAACTAAACTCTGGGTTGATGTTAACAGGATTTAGACCTGCTAGATGCGGCCATGCACCCTTATTCCTATATTAACCTCTTGCCCAACTGATCTTATTTCCCATTGAAATTGCTTATGTCAAATCTCTTGCTTGTTTCAGCATCATCATTTCTTAGCCTTTAAGTCAATCTATTCCCTGTCAAAAAAGAAGAAAGAAAACCCATGGAACAGGCTCAGTATTGGATGTGGATGAGGAGGAGACATGAGCTTTTGAAGTCCCATTTTCAAGAGTCAATGAACTCTTTAAGTGATTCCTGGGAAGAAAAAGCTTTTGCCGAAGATTCAGCAGGATCTTTCGGGGGATTTATATGGCCTCCTAGATCATATTCTTGTAGTTTTTGCAGGAGAGAATTCAGGTCAGCTCAAGCTCTAGGTGGTCACATGAATGTTCATAGACGAGATAGAGCTAGGCTTCAACAATCTCTTAGTCCCAGCAATGAAGTTGTTCCTCTTCAAAATCACAACCACAATCCTGAGCCTAAATTCCCATATGATCAGGCTTGCAGTTTTGATCATTCCACTGATGATCTTGACCATAATTCTACAAGCCCTAGTATTGTTGCCTCAACTTTTTCAGCTTCTAGGGTGTTAGCTTTATCTACTCAAGAAACTTTTAGTACTTCTTCCATTGTTCAAGAACAGCATAAAGGGCAGTTATTTGGGTCAGATTCTACTGCAAAAAGAACTCTCATCAATATTGTTTCATCAGATTCAAAACCTGAGGCACAAAAGAGCATCAATCTGGTGGGGGAAGATTCTATGGGCCTAGGTTCTGATGATCATGTTGAAACCAATTTATCTGTTGGGTTGAATTCTGTCTTTTTCCAAAACCGACCAACTGTGACCTGTGGCGAGGAGGCAATCAATTACAAACGACCAAAGGTTGCTGTTTCAACACTGCCATTCTTAGTTTCAAAAGAGAAATACTCTCCTCTTCAATGGCAGGTTCTTGGACTTAAGCCTGCAAACTCCATGGAGGACTTGGATCTTGAGCTCAGGCTTGGGGTTCTACCAAAGGTGAAGTAATGGATGGATCAAAGTATTGCAAGAGAATGATCTCAACTGAAGATATTGATTGCTCTTAGAGAACTCACTTCTTTGATATTCACTGGAAAACAGGCCAAGGCATATAATTGAGCAGATAACGAAAAGCTTATTTTCCAATCATGTTTCTTATATTCTGATATATAGTAGCATCTTATAGTTTTTCAGCCTTTTTTTTATCTGTTTATAGTATTCCAACTATCTTTCATCCATGATGATAATGATTTGGAAATGATAAATGGTACTTGAAAATCTTCATGATCATAGAGAAAATCTTCCGGTGTCCTTTCAGAATTATTAAGCCAGAATATATCAATGTTCTACAATAAAAATCTCCATATCTAACGTTATCCATTACTTGTTTCATTCAAGTTCATCATAGTTTATTATATTAGCTTTTCAATATTTTCACGGGATTAGTGATGATAAAAGCAATTAGAACAGCGCTTAGATTTATCAGATGCAATGACAATTGTCCTTTGGATCAGATGATCCTGCCTCAGCGTACATGCTGCAGGGAGTGAAAGGCAGTCTTTTACACTCTGAACAAACTGTTGTTAAACTGTAAGTTCATACTAGAATTATATACAATAAATAGAGAAAAAAAAAAGAAAAAAAAAAAAGAGAGGGAGACGGTTTGGATTGATGAATTCGACTGTGGGAGTTTTAAAGGTGTGAAACAACTGACAGTAAGTCACTTTTACTGCTATTGGGGGACTTATCACAACAGGAATTCTCTTTTTTACCTGGTATTATGTGCATCAAACCCAAGATTTATTACACTTTTTCAACAGTTTATTTTAAAGAAAAACTTAAGATAAATTGTTTGATCTTAAATAAATAATATATCATATTTAAGAACTTAAAATAAATAATTTAAAATTTTATAATTCAAAACAATTTCAATAAATGATCATCTATAATTAAATTTGAACTCAAAATCGTTACATCAAAGAAGACGATACTTACCAATTGAACGAACCTCACTTTTTTATAAGTTTCTCATCCCCTGATAATCTCCAAAAGGTCCAAAATCGTACACCTAACACAAAGGAATCAAGTTGATAAATTATACGCATCAAACTATATGCTATAATTTCACTTCATTGGCACTCTTTTCTCGTCCTTTTCTTGTTTATTATAGCTGGCTATTACTCTCTCAACTGATCTCAACAACCAAACCTAGCAGCCTACAAAAAACTCAGCCAAAAACAAATCAAAACCGCTTCCTTTTGAAGACGAGATTGGTCTCCAGAATACGACGGCGAGGATCTCTGAGTGATTTGTAGTTGTTTTTTCAATCGTTTAACATTAACAAGAAAAATTGATGATATCATGTTGACTTAATGAATATGGAGGTTTTGCAGAGAAGGATTAAAGAAATTTTGATTCGTTGCTTGTTAACGGGAATCATGTCCCCAAAGGAGGGTTTTCCTGCGTGCTTTTGGAGGTGTGGGGTTCATGTGTTTTTTACAAAGGTTTTTAAAGATAGACAGAGGAAAATAAGACAGAAGGAAAGTGAGGTTTGGGGTTGCTTTAGGTTTCCATAAATGGCCTGGTTTTGTATAAGAAAGATGTTAAAAATGGCTGCCTGGCAATGGCAATGGCAATGGCAATGGCAGAGATGCACGTGGGAGTGGTAGGGGTGAGAAAAAAAAAAAAGAAGGAAAAATCGAAAATAGATTTCAAATCGGAATGTTTAGTTTGGTTCCGATTGCGATGGTATTAAATATATATATTAAGATCGGGCTATAAAAAATTTTAAAAAATTAAATATATTTTTTTATTAATTTTTTTATATTTTTTAAATTTTTATAAAATAAAATAATTATTTTATATAAATATATTAATAATTTATTAAAATAATATATCAATATAAAAAATTAAATTTTAAAAATTAATATATCAAATTGAATCATAGAATTTAATTTTAATAAAATTGATTTTAAAATATTAATTTAAATTTTGATCAAATTTTAAAATTATATAATATTATATATTATTTATAAAATTAAATCGAATCTAATACAATCCAAATTTTTTAGCTAGTGGAGAGGGATAATCTGCCTGTTTCTATGTTGCTTTCAAAAGATTCATTTATGAGATTTTTTCAGAGGTAATGAGGATATATTCTGAGCAAATGTGAAGGCGTTTCTTCTTTTAGTCATGCCTTGAGAAACTATAACACGGGACAACACTTCTATTCCAGCTTGAGGTTGCTTAAAGATTCAAAGGAATCACACGTTGTGAAAGGATTTTCTTTTGGTAGCCTATTAACAAAAGTTGGTGAATGGTGATAGGCAGCTAGAGAATCAAAAAATGAATACTTGATGAACTTTTTTACAGACTCTCGTGCTCAAACGTTCAATAATTGTTTCATTTTGTTTTGTCTGAAAAAAAAATCCTTTGAAATTAACGTTAACGAAAAATCACATATAAGATTTGAATTTAAAATCACTTACGACAATTTAATCAAACCCACTCTTGTTGGGGATAGCACCCTACTAAGAAATAGAAAACAATTTACGTAAAATTTTTATTAAAAATGATTTAATAAAAAATTTATATCGATAAATTAGTAAAATTCAACGAAAAGATTAATAATATATAAAAAAATTTATCGAAAATATTATTTATAATTAAATTTAATCAATATTTATTTAACGATAAAAATTTTATTAAAATTTTTATAAAAAATGTCTACCTAAAAAACATATAAAAATTTATTAAATGTTTTTCAAAATTTTCACACTTAATTTATAAAATAAAAAATTTTAATCTATCAATTTTTATTGTGGTTTTAATTTTTATTTAATCAATTTTAATAAAAATTTCATCGAACTTTACTTGACAAATTTCATGCAAGTCTTTCTTTAAGAAATGAGCTTCCCACTTTCCCTCTATCTGATAAAAAGCTGCAAGACAAGATGACTAAATATATTACTCAAATATTTATGAATTTAAAATTTAATTTAATTGATTTATACAGTAAAAAAATGGGCTTCGCCCTGTCTGAACCTAATCTAGTAATTTTATTCTCTAAAAATTTTAAAGATGTATTTTCTCACATCAATTTAATTGAGTGGGAAACAGAAGTAGTGATTTTAACAACTAAATTGGTTCTTGTGAACAAAAGTATTACTTTTGGGCCTGATGAGAATTCATAAATCTATGCCAAGACAAGGGGCTCCAGTAGTCGAGTAAACCCCAATCTGAAGTCTGGCTTAGCCCAACTTCCAAGTGAGCTAGCCCAAGCCCATGATGCAAACCATGTTCCTAAAATCAGCCGAAGTGCAATGTTAAACTAAAAGAACCCCAAGAGGTCAAGCCCATCCTTTTCCCACACAAGTGCATGGCTAGAGTCAATTGTCTAGATTATAAGCGTAAATGATTAAGCAATACTCACAAATTATTTCAATTTGACTAAAAAAATTTTTAAATTTTATTTTATTATTATCGAGTTAAATTTAAAATTAAATAATTTAATTTAAATATCATAATATTTAATTTGAATAATTCTTGAATTTAATTAAATTTTTATATTTTAATATATCTTAATTATTTTAATCAAAAAATTATTGTTTACCCTTATGTATATTTATTAATTTAAGTTTAAATTCGAATTCAAATATAAATAATATAATTTAAAAATAAATATATTAATCAAATTTATTTTTATTTAATATAAATAAATTCAAATAATTTAATTTTTTCTTAAATCGAATTTAAATTTAAAATTTAAAATTTAATTAAATTTGATTCAAATTTTAAAAGCACCAATTTTTTATTATATCAATTAAACTCGATTATACTCTAAAATTTTTGAATATTTTATTTATAAAATTTAAATTTAATTTTTATTATCAATTATTTTTTATGAGTTATTTCTAAATATATTTAAATCTCTGCGAACCTGATCATGGACCGTAGAAACTTATTCTTATTTAATTTTCTTTTTGAAAAATAAAATTGTTTTATTCAAAAAAGGCTAAGGGAAGAAGTGGAAAATTAGGTACGTGTTCAAATTGCAAATAAGGATGGCAGATTATAAAAAATTTTCCAACGCCGAGGAGAGTGCCCGAACGTGCTATAGTGCGAGCAACGAGGGGCCGCCTGTGTTGGCGCACTTCGATCCACGTCAGCAAAGGACACGTGTCAAATTTAATTTAGCGAATCGCCGAAGCCTCAGATATTTTGCAGAGGTTTCAATCGACCTGATCATCCGGTCCCTCACGTGTCCAAATTTCTATAGTCATTGCACAACTGTGGGACAAGCTAGCAGAATTTAATAAAAGACAACCTGTTTTAGATTAATTATTCTCTTATTCGCAACATCTGGAGCGTAATATCACGCTCTTCCATTGCTAAATATTAGATTTACTATTGAATTTTATAAAAATAAAATAAAATAAAATATTAATTAATGCAATGATAAATTTACTTCAATTTTGTTATCTTTCGTTAAAAATAAATATAATTATAATTATAATAATAAATTTAATATTAATTCAGAGTATATTATCAAATTTCACCTTAATCCAAATTTTTTTACATTTATATATTTACTTTTTCATTCTAAAACAATAGCATATTGAGCCATTTTTGTTAAAAAAAATTATATTGAACCTTTACTTATTTTTTGTATAAATTTTAAAATAAATTAATAAGACACACAAAACAATTTTTTTTAATTTGAGTTTTTAATACAAAATCTAAAATCAACATGTAATAATATAAGACAAAAAATTAATTACAAAAAGATTTTCATATGTCTTGAGGTCTTGTAATGATAATATAATTCCAAAATGTCAAAGAAAAAAAATGAACTATTTATAGAGTACTTAATCCACACAGTTAAGTAAAAAAAATTCATAGTTAATATTGAGAAATTTTACTTGATTCCTAATTAAAAACTAATAAGCAAACTAAATAATTATTGTTTGGAAAAAAAAAGCTTAATAGTGATTACCGTCACTCTCCACAAAAGCGCGTGGAGAGAAGAATCATCACAGAATCTCGTATTCCACGATCTCGCCACGTGGTGATATCTTCGTAACAGTTTCTTTTTAAAAAAATTAATTGAAAAAGTGATTAACAGGAACGCAAGAACGACATAGCAGGGTCGTCTCCCTTCCGTCAGGACCACATGCGTGTCAGGACAGGAAGGTCTTTTCGACAAGTCGTGGCTTCTCATCATTGGCCCACGTGTCCCAAGCATTTAATCATTTACAGGTGTCACCTCTTCAACAATCTGATCAAGTGACGGTGCCTGATTAACTTCTTGTATTCAGTAAATCAACGTCAGACCAACTGTGCATGTCGGGTCGGCTTGCCCGATGGTGACGGGCAGTCTGCCCTTGTAATGGTGTGGCCCCCAGGTGAATTTAGGGTTCTCAGTATTAAAACTTCTTAGCCAGCCATTTTGATGGGTCCTTTGCATTCGATCTGAAAAGAGAAAAAGAAAAAATATCTCTTGATTTTTCAAAAGCATGTTCTTCAGTAATCAAATGGCTGGCATTTGCTGTGGAGTTGTCGGAGAAAGTGAAGTGGCGGCTCCGGTTGAACCAACCTCAAGAGCTTCTCGCCGCCGGAGAACGGAGCTTCGTCCGTTTAAGTTAGTAGCCGACGCTGCCGTTCCACCGCCCTTGGAAACCGGCCGAAAACGGCAGAAGCTCGATCTCGATCTATTCCTCCCGGCTTCTTCTCGAGACTCTGATAACGCTGTTCAAAACTCGGATACTGACAAGCTTAAGAAAGATCACGAATCTAATGAAGGTGTAAATTCTAATGGAACAGTGAAATTAGAGACCGATAATTCGATAGAAGAAGAAAATGAATCGCTGAAGTTCGGTGTGACTTCCGTTTGTGGAAGGAGACGAGATATGGAAGACGCCGTTTCGATTCACCCGACGTTTTGTTCATCGGATATTCACTTTTTCGGCGTCTTCGACGGCCATGGCTGCTCTCATGTACTAAAAAAGCTTGCAAATATTTGAGTAATTTAAATTTATTAACAAATTAATTCAGTTATAACTGATTTTTGGTTTTTTTAGGTTGCGATGAAGTGTAGAGATCGCTTTCACGAGATAGTAAAAGAAGAAATCGAAGCGTGCGGCGGAGGAAAGGCGGTGGAATGGAAGCGAACGATGGAGAGAAGCTTCAAGAGGATGGATAAGGAAGTTCAAGAATGGACAGTGGACGCCAAGGAGAGTTCGAGTTGCCGATGCGAACTTCAAACTCCACAGTGCAACGCTGTTGGATCCACCGCAGTGGTTGCTGTTGTCACGCCGGATAAGATCATCGTCGCCAACTGCGGCGATTCCCGCGCTGTTTTATGTCGAAATGGCGTCGCTTTCCCCCTCTCCGACGATCACAAGGTCAGAGGTTTCACCTTTGATATTTTAATTCAGTTTCACGTAAATAAAAAATAAATTTATTTATTTATTTATTTATTTCAGCCGGACCGGCCCGATGAATTGCTCCGAATCAAAGAAGCCGGTGGCCGAGTAATCTACTGGGATGGCCCTCGAGTTCTTGGCGTTTTAGCCATGTCTAGAGCAATTGGTAACTTAAAAATTCAAATTTCCCATTTTATCCCTAACCATTTTTTATTTTTTAAAATTGATATCTAATTTTTTCTTTCTCTTTTTTTTTTTATTATTAGGCGATAATTATTTAAAACCCTTTGTCATACCGGAGCCAGAGGTGACAATAACGGATAGAAAAGGGGGAGACGAGTGTTTGATATTGGCGAGCGACGGATTGTGGGATGTGGTGACAAATGATACAGCATGTGGGGTGGCGCGTATGTGCTTACGCGCTCAAAGGCCGCCATCGCCACCTGGGTCACTGGGTAGTGACGCAGCGGTAAAAGGTGGCGCAGCCGAGAGTTCGGATAAGGCGTGTTTGGATGCTTCCATTTTGTTAACCAAGTTGGCCTTGGCTAGGCATAGCACGGATAATGTTAGCGTTGTTGTTGTTGGTTTGAAGAAAAATCAGCTGCAATAATTAAATTAAAAATAGAATTACAGACATTAATGTTTAATTGGAAAAAAATATTAAATGAAAGAAAATAGCTTTTTTTTTTTTCCTGAAATTGTAAGATGTAGAGTTTCAGTTTCAATCTTGATGAAGAATTCAAGGAAAAGAAAAGAAAACTTGGGTTTTATTATTTTAATTTCTATCTTTCTTTGTTTTTTTTTTTTTTCCTTGAATGTTTAAACTTTGTAAATAAATGGTAAAAATTAAAATAAATTAGTTCATAATTTTTTAGTTCAGGAATGGGTTGTTTGAGGACATCAGATCATTATTTTTTCAGAATCAATGAAATTCACACAATGACACAAAAATGATTAGAACAAAGGGGTTAAACTACACATTTGGAACGATGGGAGAAAGAGATGCTTGGCCTTGAACACAACAGGCAACATTAAATAATGACAGTGAAAACAGTACACTAAAATCAAAACTGACCAAAAGATTTGTAAGAACAAAAGGAAGGAAAAAAAATATATCTTATTGGATTAAATTGAGCCAACGTTGGTGTTTCTTGGGCAATACATTTATGTCATAAGCATTCGAATAAAGTAAATAAGATGCTTCAATCTTACATCATATAAAAAAAAAAAAATCATTGAATATATAAGTGTTGATATTGTATACTTCAATAAATAAGGTCAGAGTTAATCCTTGATTCATCTAACTCTATGCTAAGTTCTTAATGAGGATAGACAAGGTGGATTAGTTTGATCATGCCAAAGTCTTTCAAAGAGGAGTAAACAAGATCAAAACTATGAGAGCATCACAAAATTAAATGAAAAATAATGTTAAGTGATATTTACACTTTAATTATCATATCACATCATTAACATTTACGTATGCTTACGTTTACGTATAATTTAAATAAAAATAAATAAAATCATTTACACTTACACATACATCACATCATCAACACTTACGCATAATTTAAATAAAAAAAATATGCAAGGTCACTTATGCATAATTTATATAAGAGAAATAAATAGGGTTATAGTCCTTATATAAGAGAAGTAAATAGAATGACAGTTGTGACAAAGGCCATCATGGGACTAAACATCACATCATCAGCATTTACACATAATTTACATAAAGGGAGTAGGCAAGCTTACCCATAATTTACACAAAGGAAATAAGTAGGGTGGTAGTCATAAAATTGGATTTCATGAGAAGCATTCAGAATATGTAAATAGGATATTTTAATCTTACATTGGATAGGAAAAGAAAGATCGTCAAACATATAAATATTAGCACTGCATATTCTAATAAGTAAAATTTATGAAAAGATGATAAAAGGATGTAGGTAAAGTGTTTCAATCTCATATTGAATACAAAAAAAAAGGTTATTGAACATATTAGCGTTGATATTACATATCCTAATAAATAAATTTATCTACAATAATAATCTAAATTAATTTTATATGAAAAAATAATAATCACGTGACATTTAAACCTTAGCTATCACATCATATCATTAACATTTACATGTAATTTACATTTATAAATTTAAATACAAATAATCTTTTAACAAACAAGCGAAAAAAAATAATGATCACGTTATATTTAAATCTTACATCAAATCATTAACACTTACATATAATTTATATATATAAATTTAAAGATAAATAATCTTTTAATAATTACATGAAAAATATAATGATCAGATGACATTTAAACTTTAACTATCATATCAAACTATTAACACTTATGTATAATTTACATATATAAATATAAAGACGGATAATTTTTTAACAATTATAAAATTTAATTCAAATAAAATATAATATTAGAATGAAAGTTTAATGGATCAAATGACCTAATTTAGCACCTTTCATTGTTAGGGCATATATCAATGATTTGATACACACATGAGCTATTCGATGTTTTTTCTTTTGAAAAAAAAAGCACATAGAAAATTTGAAAAACAAACAAACATCCAAGTTCAAACCAAATCCAACAATGACCAATTTGTTTTTGGAGAAAAACAAATAAAAGAGAAAAAAAAAAACTCAACTTTTTTTCTTTCCAGATAAGCAAAGCACTAACATTGACTATTGACTCAAGTGAAAGATTGATTATCCCACGGACTCTCAGTGTCTCTCTCTCCCTCTCTCTCTCTCTCTTTTCGTTTCTCTTTGTCTTTTCTTTTCCTTTTTCTTTACCATTTCCCCTCCCAATGTCCGAATCATTCTTTTAATTCTTAAAAAAAATAAAAAGAAAAAGATTACCCCTTACATAAGGAAACCAAACCAAAAAGGAAAAAAACCCTAACTTTTTTTTCTGCTTAAAACAGTATGCATATTAAAAATAATCTCTTTCGTTATTATTAATGAAGGGTAATGTGAAATATTTCTGGGTTTTGTCTTTTTAATTGTTTTTTTTTACTTAATTTTGCAGTTTCTTCAAAATATCTGAAAGGGAAGAATTCAGTCAAAAAAATGAAAATCCCTAAAATAAGAGGATAAAAGGGAGTTGATTTTTATTGATTTTTGAAGGTAAAATCTCTTTTTTTTTTAATGCTTATTTATGTCTTTTAAGTGTTTGTTTAAATGCCTGTGGTTAAATTTAGCTTATTTTAGTTGGCAAAGATTGATTTTGATTGGTTGGGCCTCATAAAAATTTCTCCTTTCTTTTGAAATCTATATTATTTTGGGGTTTATGCTTTTAATGTTCTGTAAATTACATTTATCTTATTTGTTTAGATTATTACTTGTGGATTTATATCAACTCAATTTATCAATGCCTGAATTTCTTGTACAATACGATACTTAAGTCAATAAAGTTGTTATCTTTTTTTTATAAAAATATTATTTTTTTATTTTATTTATTTTTTTATGAGATGACTTTTGAATTTTGATACATATGGTCTTTAATTATGTGAACAGTTCTCAGATTGAGGGTTTCTTTTTTAAAGTTTCAATTATAATCTTTGAGCTTTCTTGAAAGAGCAAATTTGTGTTATCTTTGATATTAGTGTATAACAAACAAAGATGGATTCATATAGTCAAGTGGAGTCAACTCTCAAGGAAGTACTTGATGTGATCAAGCCCCTGCGTGATGATTGGGTTACACGGTTTAAGATCATTGATGAATTGCGTGAAGTTGTTCAATCTATGGAAAGTTTAAGAGGTAATTTTTATGTTACTTTTTAAATGGTTGTGCTCAGTTCTTTGTTTAGATTGATTCATGTAAATTTGTCTATGAAGATGGGAATAAAACATATGCAGGCTTATTGAATGAAATTGGCTATGGAAATGTTACATTTTGCATTCAATGATGGATCAAGAAAAACCAACCATTTATTGGAATGTTGCAAACAATTGCAAAAGGGAAATAATTTCATCTTATACAAGCTCAAAATGTTCTCCTCCAGCGAAGGGGCCAAAAAGTGAACATTGCCTATATGCACTATTAAGTAAGAAAGATTGTCACGGAGGAAAAATCGGCTTCCTGAAGAATTTTTAGATGATAATGTTATTGTTTTTTCCCCTTTCTTTTGATCTGAAAGTGGACTTTCATAAGTGGCTTAAACAAGGTCTGTTTTTAGAAATAGTTGTTTGACATTTTCCTGGCACGATGGAACTGGCGTACCTAAGCAATTTGGCTAAGAAGCACCGGGTGGTATGGTCTGACCAACCTTACTTACGATAATTTTAGATTTTATTTTTTAATCTTTTTTAAGTCTGGAAGGTGAGATCTTTCTGTGAGTACGGTCTTTATCCCATTTCCCATATTTCACCTAGGCAGGAAAGAAATTTTCTGGTCTCTTGAAAAGATACATGACATAAAGAAGTGATCTTTTGCATATCATTTATGAAGATTTTTATTGGTTAAAGATTTTGGTAATTAACAATATGTATACCTGACATAACTCGTCAAAACAGGTGCAACTGTGGAGCCATTTGGATCCTTTGTGTCTAATCTCTTCTCGCGATGGGGAGACTTGGATATTTCTATTGAGTTACCTTATGGTTCATATGTTTCATCTGCTGGAAAGAAGAGGAAACAGAGTCTACTGGGAGAATTACTAACAGCTTTAAGACGGAAAGGTGATTTCGTATAATCATCATGCTTTCATGTTCTTGTTAAAACATAAGAGGATGGGAGCAGAGAAAGCTTTTTCTTGGGAGGGTTGGGGGTGGCTGTACATTGCTATTCTTTATGTTTGATCGGTCATTATAAATAATGGCTTTTAATTATCAAGATAACATTTATATGTAGGTGGATGGCAGAGGTTGCAATTTATTCCCAATGCAAGAGTTCCCATTTTGAAAATTGTGAGCAAATGGCAGAACATTTCTTGTGATATTTCAGTCGATAATCTGCAGGGCCAAATAAAATCCAAATTCTTATTTTGGCTCAATGAGATAGATGGTCGCTTTCGAGACATGGTTTTACTGGTATGTCTCATTAAAAACTATCACTTACTGTTGTGGAGAGGAACATATATCTCATTTCGTCATTCATGCTGTGCAGGTGAAGGAATGGGCCAAGGCTAATGGCATTAATAATCCAAAATCAGGGACATTCAACTCCTATTCCCTCAGTTTGATGGTTATCTTCCATTTTCAGGTGGCTTTTATAATTGTTTCTTGTATCAATCATCGTAAAAATTGTAGAAGCAAGTGATTTTTTTAATACAATCAAAAGCATACTGTATTCATCTTTGTATTCCATCTGTCTGACCCCAATGTTCCCCAGTTTCATTTACTTTTTTTGGCAATGGAGAGATATAACGTTCTTCCTCTCTGCATTTATTCATTTGTGTTTCTTGGTTTTGCTGTTGGTATAATATCGACCATACTTTTATTCATATATCATTTCATTTATTTTCTATTTCTTGCAGACATGTGTGCCTGCAATTTTACCTCCTTTGAAAGATATATACCCAACAAATGTTATGGATGATCTTACAGGTAAAATGAAGGTTATGATTCTTATTGGTGGCTCTTGGTGGTGTTTGATTGAAATTAAGCTCAGGCTGTCAGTTATAAATACGCTGCAATGTGAAATTTTGAGCAGGATTAAAGAAAAATTGTTCATATTATTTCACTAATGAAAAACAAATTGTGAATTAAAAATGCTAAATATGTTTAGAGGATAACTTCCTGATCGGAATTCTTCTCTGATGCAGGTGTGAGAGCTGATGCAGAGAGACGCATTGCACAAGTATGTTCTTCTAACATTGACAGGTTTAGATCAAGCAGAACCCCAAATCCAAGTTCTTTGTCTGAACTGTTCATTTCCTTTATTGCCAAGGTATTGGTTCCTGTTATGATCGTCTATTATGCTTGTTGATGCCGTATGTCAAAGTACCGTTTAACGTTTATGACAGCAGGTTTCTAAAGCAGTTCTCCGTGGGAGAACCATATAGGTTTATGTATGCTAAAGTTATAAATATATGCACAGTTTTCAGACATACATTCGAAGGCCTCGGAGATGGGAATCTGCTCGTTTACGGGACGGTGGGAGTATATAAGAAACAATACAAGATGGTTGCCCAAGACTTATGCAATATTTGTAAAATTCTCTCTCTCTCTCTCGTATTTTTTATAAGGTTCATGGCTTGGACACTGATAAAAGTAATGACTCTTTTTGATGTTTGTTTAGATTGAAGATCCTTTTGAACAGCAAGAAAATGCTGCTAGGGCTGTCAGTCAGAAACAACTGATAAAGATATCTGAAGCATTTGAGACAACTCGTCGATTGCTTATCTCAGCCAATCCGAGCCAAAGTGCTCTCCTCCCTACATTAGCTGGGCCACAAACATCCAGATATATTTTAAATCATTCAATCAGTTACTCAAGCAACAATGGTGGGCAATACCTGAATGCAAATCTACAGGTGCACCGGGCTGTGCATTCACCTTTGCAAATGCAGCATCAAGCTCAGAAAATGGTGATGCCCTCAACATCTAAAGTGCAACCTCTATTTCAGAAACCAAGGGTGGAAAGTAGAAGGCCACAACATCAATTTCAGAAACCAACACCAACACTGGCTCCCTCATTGACACCCTCGGTCTCACAAGTACAACCTCAGTTTCAGAGATTTCAGAAACCGACACCGGCATCCTCACCAACACCCTCAGTCTCACAAGTGCAACCTCAGTTTCACAGATTTCAGAAACAGACACTGACACCCTCACCAACACCCTCAGTCTCACAAGTGCGACCTCAGATTCAGAGAGCAAGGCCGGAAAGTTCTCCAGGCTATTTTGCCACTCAAAGGCCTTTTCAGCTACACCAAAATCAAGGGAAGATGTGGAAACCAAAATCTGACAATTAGAGATCATTGATCAAATTGAAAATCTATTGTGTAACTTGAGAGTAAGACTCAACATTCAAGATCTCAAATTTTATTTTGCCTGAAAAACCAATGTTATGGAAAGTGGTTAGATGTCTGAGAGCACAATTTTTGTTATTATTTATACAATGTATTTGGAAACTTTCCTAGAATGGAAGAAACAGCAGCCAGCAGAATTTCCGACTGAAAAGAAAACCAAAACTTTCCCAGAATGGAATCATCAGTCTCCAGCACATCATGAAAGGATATCTAGCTTATAACAGATTAATCCAATTCAAAGAATAAAAGAAAGACTTTATCCCAAGGAAAAAGGGAATGAACGTGAATTTTAACTGAAGAAAAAAAATTTTTGCCTGTGTCTATCCAAAGAATGAAATAAAAATAATGATCATACTCCTGCCCCAAGAAAAAAAACGCAGGTAGTATGACTATATCTTATAATTAAGTTGCAGAAGGAGCTGTAAAATTTCAAGCTTGCCTTTAAGATGAGGATATCAAATATCTGGCTTCGTCTTCCTCTAGCAGACTCCAAACACGCTATATGAACAGGAAAGTATCTGATGTCTGCCAGTCGATGACTGCATACTTTAATCCTCTTGATATGTTCAGTTAAAATTTCAATAACCATCCTCCTTTCTTTTACTTGGTAATGACAGTGTGCAAGAGACGTGTTAGCCTGTCTAATTACATTTTCACTTTGCATTAGTAAACAGTGAAGATATGCAACTTGAGTTTTTAGTTCTATTGGCTCAACCGCGAAGTAGGCGCTTGTCACATATCAAGATCCTGTAACTTGCATGAGGACCCTCAGATGTATTAAGTAGAGCTGGGTGCCAACCCATGGCTTTTGCAATATCTTGAAGGTCATCCATAACATCAACAGAATCACGGATGTATGCTCGTCCACCAGGTCTCAATATCCGGTCCATTTCAAGCATAATCGTAGACATATTACATCTGACATAAGAGAACAAATAATTAAATTACCAAATCAATTAACCATATATTAACACTTTGCCTTGTCGATAAAACTCCCAAATCATAAAGAGTGAGAGTGAACCCATATCCAACACATAGTACCATATTTTCTTCCTATAAAAATAAACAATTTTTGGATCTTGAATGTTTTCTTGTAAAAAGAAGGAATTTCACCACTGAAGGTGGTGAATGAAATCTTCTGTTTTGAGCAAAAATGATTGCCTCAACATGAACAGAACTTCAATAATCAGCTAGCAGAGAAATATTATACCAAATATCAAAGTATTAGGGTTTACCTTTTCCTCTCAACTGAGAAGAGACCAGCCGCATGCACAAGATCATAGGTCCTTGGGTATGTATCAAATGGTTCACACCTGGTAAATCAGACACAATTTAGCTTATAACTCAGTCCAAGCAACAGCAACAACCATAGCATACTTTAGAGTTTAGATTATAAATCAGTATTGTATGCCTATAGGATGACAGAGTAAGAAAACATATATTAGATGCACAACATTTTGCAAAAAGGAAATGGTTAAACTAAAGTAATTCAAAAATGTGAAAAAGGGGAAAGAGGGAAGCAAAGGGAAGGGTTCATTTGAAGGTGTAGATAACTCTTTTGAGATTGTAATTCGTAAGTAATGATTTTTTTAGCCAAAAGTTCCTAAGAATGATTAAAATCATTGATGAAAGTACAGCCATTACTAATTCAATCCATTCCGATCTAATCAACTATGCAGAGTTTCCTTATTGGAATTATGGTTAAGAAAAAGTACCAGTCATGCATGACCCCTATTAATCCACGATCATAAATAACAGGCAAGGTATTGGGCCCACTAACAGGGACCGCATTAAGAACCCAAGCATCAAGTTGATTGTCAATTAATGCAGCTGCAAATCTGCACAAAAATACATAAAACCACAGATTTGATAAATACAGAAGTATCTTAATGGAACAGTGCAAGACTAGGTTAAAAAAATACCCTCCAAAGCCAGCTCTCATGTCCAATATATTTCTTAGTTTAACCTTCTTCCAATATCTAGCACGGACATATTTTGCCACTATTTCATTCCAGTATTTTGATTCTGCTTTGAATAGCTCTTTTCTAGCTATGTAGGAATCAATTCGTATGCTCTCCAGCCTGTCAGGTGGGGTTTGCAGACGAGCAGGCCAAGGAGCAACATTTGCACCATGCCCGTTCTTAGGAAGTTGACTAATGCATGCCTTCAGATTAACATACCTGAGAGATTATGCAAATATCCCGTGAATAAGAAAATCGAAACTACTCACATCAAACAGAATGAAAAATCAGATGCAGACCCTGGAGTCTGGAAGACCTAAATAATCAGCAAAGAGTACTACGGCCTACAAAAAGAACATGAAAAAGAAATTCCAGATTTTGGAATAGGTTTACAAATTAATCCATGGAGATTGATGAAGTTATAGCTATATACAAATAAAGTCGACATTGTTTAACTGATGGAAGCCATCAAAAACAAAATCAGTATTCTTTAAGCGTGTCTTCACAGATTGTCAGCAGAGAAACCCAGAGGAATTCCTGCACAACTTTCATGCACAGAAAAGTCAAATCATGCCAGTGGTCAATTTCATAAAAATTACAACGGTCAAATACACTATAGGCAGAACTCAAAACACAACTTCAAAAAAGCAATGATATGCACAATTTCCCTCAAGCAACAGATAGTTTCTCATTCTGTTATGGAGTACATATCACTAAAAGCAATATACACCAACTAGCTCACAGCCAGTTGCAAGAACAAGTATCTAAACCTCCAAGCACCCAATTATATGATTGCCGACTCTAATATTCATCCTCTTATGTAGGGAACAAGGACTTAGATAACTAAAAATCTGCCATTGCAGTTGATGATATTATCCCGTTAGGCATAGTTTTCCAAATAAAAGGAACAGTAACGAACATACCAAACATTATCTGGGTCATCATCTGGGTCACACAAGGGAGGATTGATCCCGGCTTCACGGCTTAAATAACAGCTGTTATTAAAGGGCTTCTGCCATATTGCAATATATCCTTCCTTCTTTACAAGATTCCAGCAGAGGCGAGTAGTAAGGTTAAGCATCTCTGGAAGTAAAGATCAGAAAATAATCATGCACACCAATTCTAACATGCAATTTCCTACAAACTGCTACACAACATATTAGATTATATTATCACGAGACAAACAGAATAAATGCTCAACCAGGATAAGAGGAAAATGTTAGCATGATTAAAAGTTGAACTTTGCAAATCCATAATGAGCATATATTAGTTATCACATTTCTTGGCATGCTAAACATGAATTCTAGGTCCATCAGTTATACCTTGCCACTGTTCCTCAAGAGCTTCTTCATGCTTGTAAACTGGCTGTGCTGCCCAAGCAAAATATCCACCAGCCCTGAGCATTCTATTCACCTCAAGGAGCAAAATTCCATCTTCATTAGAAAGCATAAGAACAGAAGGATGCATCAGAAGATATCCCAGAACTTGACTTCATGACAGTAAAAGAAAAAATGCGAAATTAATATTCTAGAAAAATCTAATGGGACATAACAAGTATAAACAAGATGGGAAAAAGTTTTTATTTAAAAAGAAAAGGTAGATGTAAGAAAGCTTATTGGCAAAGAGAAACTGGTATTGTGGAAAAACTTCCTCACTGGAAAGGGGGAAAAAGTGACAAGATAGAATGAGCAATTGAGCATATAGGGTTGCCAAATGTCATAGTTAGTGCAGAGGCGATACTTGGAATTGTACAGAATAATTTCCTTACCTTCTTACTTTTCTTCACTACCAAAAAATGACTAGATAAAACATGAACAAAAAGTTTACCATCACGAGTCCAATTGATACGACATCTAGAACAATGTATCAAATCAAAGGCTTGACTTGGGTACAATAAACGGCGAGTTGCAAATGCAGCCACCATTGCAGGCACTCCACGCTCAAGAGCAAATTGAATCTGGTTTTCATGGACATCTTTGGGAGCTATTGACATGGTTATAACATTTCGGGATAGCAAATAGGCACCAAAACTTGCCACACCACATCCAACATCCAGAACAACCCGAATATGATGACCAAATGTAATCTCAGGGACCATCTGGATATACAGATTAGAACTTGGTCATCATAAACAAAATCCACAGACCAAATTGCTTGGTGTTTTTCATCCATATATATAAGGTTTTAAAATTTTAATTACCTTAGAAATCTGATCCAGGTACTGGTCTGCCCCATGTATGAACTGTGTGCCACCTCCAGGAAACTTGAATTTATCTTTCCCTTTTTTGGAAATCCAATTTTGACCACCTTTGTCATCTACTAGACGCGTATGAGGAACATTGCTAAACCATACCTATCCATTGAAGCAGTTATTCCTATTAGAAAACTAGGTATGCTACAAATAAGAGAAGCAATAAACCAATCAAACATTAACAAAAACTACTTCAAAGCAAACCTTGAGGTAACAAAAGCTACTTTCAAAAGCAAAAAAAGAAAAAAAAAAGAGTAAAAAGGAAAAAAAAAAAACTTGGAATATATTTCCTCTATTCCCTCAGCAACAAAAGGTGAAAAAAGAAATCAATACAACTAGTACTTTAGAACAGGTAATCCCTAGAGTCTCTTTATCCCACTAATCAAACCATTTAATTTGTCCTTTTTTAAACACTCAAAACCTGAAAAACCTAAAAAAGAAACTCACTGACCTGACGATTAGTGTATTTGTACTATATTTTACACGAAAATTTTATCACAATTCGTGTTAATATAAAAACATGAAATAGATTTTTTTGGTTTTGTTAAACACATATATAGTTATTGTTAAAATTTTAAACTATGACATCTTCGTATAATATTTGTGTAGTGTCATGGTATCGTAATTTAAATTGTCATGTCTATGCTGACGGTTCTAATGCTCAACTTGTGACTCAACTCACTCGAATTCAGCTCCATTGTTCCATGTCGAGTTTGAGCATTCACAGAGCAGAGACGAAGCAGTTAAATAAAGAATCTACAAAATACATAAATCATTTGAGATTCCATTTCCTTTTGCACATATATTTCAAAATTAAACAATATATTTTACCTCATCGCGGCTCCGAGGCCACGGGATCGGAGGCCGGTAACCGTTCGGAGCCGGAACCAAGCAATTCAATCCTTTCTCTTTCTCCGGACAATGTCGTTCAAATCGCTCTCCTCTCTCCGTCGATTTAAGCCTCTTAATTGCTTCCACATTATCCAAACACGGTATATACTCTTTCATACTCTCTTCACAAAGCCCAAACTTCTTAACCCTCAACGTAAACCTAACATCCTCCTTATCCGTTTCCGTCTGAATCTCCGTTCCATTCCCCCAATTCTCCACCAAATCTGGATCGAACTCCCCGGTCTCAAACGCGTCCGACATTGTCCCGTTCTCATCCACGATCCCGTAGTTCTTTATCTCCGGCGGCGGAAGCGGAGCTGCCAATGACTCCGACACTGATTTTTCTTTGTTTTTAACTGAACCAGATGGTTTCGGTTCGGTTTCCGGTGCGGTGGTGTTAATGAGAGCGGATATATTGAATTCTTTATTGAGATTAGGAGAAATAGCGATGTAAGGTGGAGACGGCGTCGTTTCGGTAGGGTATTGGCGGGAAAAGAAGATAAGCTGGCGGGAATCGTCGGACGAGTGTTTGCCTAAGTAAAAGAAAGCGATAGAGATGAAGACGAAGGCCGCGAATCTGATCGCTGTTTGGTTCTTGAGGAAATCGACGTTGCTGAGAAGTTTCATGGTTGAAAAGCTCAAAAACGACCGCGAGCAGTGGCGCTTTTGCAGATATCTAGGTGTCGTTTTTAAATCGAATAGAATCAGTACAGTGGCATTTCGTGATTTTTGGTAACGGATTTTTGGAGAGAGGGAAATTTTCGTTAGAACTCTATTTTGCTAACCTCACCCGACGGTGAATGGAGATTTTGTACATTTTTTTAATTCATATTTTTGTATCATATAAAATATTAAAATTTATATATTTGTAAGTATTTTATATGAAAATTATTTATTATAATTTATATTAATATAAAAAATAAAATATATTTTTTATTTTATTAAATTTATATAATTATTGTTATTATTTTATATCATATCATTTTCATATTTTTTATTCATATTATTTTTAGATTATCCTTTTTTTTTCAGTTTTATTTCTTTCTACATTTTTATTTTTTAGGTTTGGTTATTGCGATTGATGATATAAAATGAAAATACATTGAAAGAAGAATAGAGATATAAAAGAAATATATTTTTCATATATTAATCTTAATATTTATGGGATTTGAATTTTCATTTGAATTAGTACTTAAAGGTTTTTTTTTCTTTACAATAATTAAATTGTTTAAAAAAAAGAGTAATAACTTTTATTTCAATGAAAGTTAATGTAAATCTTTATAGTTAATGGAATTTAATATTATCATTAAGCTAAAAGATTATGCTTAAAAATTATCACAATCATAATCTAAAAGTAAATTATCAAATGTTTTTAAAAAATTCATGTCTTTAATATTAAAAATAAATTAATTGTTATTGAAATAAAATTTTAATTTGTATTATATCTGTGATAAAAAATTGACAATAAGATTAATATAAATTTATTACAATATTGAAAAGATTACATGTGCATTATTAAAATTACAATGGATGTAATTTATTTATATTATTTAGTAATTTATTTTTTGATATAAAAAATAATAATTTAAAAATAAAAAATATTTTTATCATTATTTAACGGAATAGGATATGATCAATTTTATTTAAAAAAAAAGGATTCGATTAATTAATCAGACAAAACGTTATTCGATTTTATTATGATATAAAGGAAAGAATAATCGAGAAAAAGCATTAAGTCGGCAGCAATGCTTGGCACGTGGTAGGATTAGAGCTTGAAAGCGCGGAGATCACGTTTTACAGTAACCACCCATTTGGCAAATTGTAATTTCGGTTCAATTAGCGGCAAATGCTAGCACCAGAATAAACCGGTTTTTTTTCTTTGGTCACGAATAATAAGTATAATATATATTTGACAATACATATATATATATATTATATTTTCCATAAAAATTATATATTATAATTTATATAGATATAAAAATATAATTTGTTTAATTTTATAAATTAATATATAATAATTATTAAAATTTTAAATTATATTATTTTTATTTTTTTATATTATAATATATTGTATCACCGTATTGTCAGATTTAATTAAACATATATTGCCATTTGCCACGAAATTTCATAGTTTTCTCTTTTATTTTGTCAAATAAAGATTTACTTTTAAAACCAAAAAAATAAGAATTAAATTGTCAGACGACGATCGAGCTTCAATAAACATAACGAGTCCCAACTTTTCCAGTGAATACGCTTGTGTTCTCCGCCACTACCCCACCAAAACCTTGTTTAGCTCATCCATAAAGTTCTTCGTGAGTAGAAAACAGCTTATATAATTCATTGGTATAGCCTGTGCTATCGCCTGTATTAAAACAACCTTACTTGTAAGTTTGATAATTTGTATTACTGTTTTACGTAAGATGTTATATTTATATCATATTTTATATAAAAATAATATGTTATAATTTATATTGATATAAAAATATAAATAAATTTTTGATTTTATTAAATATATTTATAATTTTTTTAAAATTTTAAATTATATTATTATATCATATTTTAAATTGTATTAAATGTACATGGCAGCCCCTGTTTCCAACCATATGTTCTCTGCCGCACTCTATCTTTGATTCGCTGAAATACTCCCTTTGTAACCTGCCAATCAAAACAAGCAGTCTTAGATAAAGATCTTGTCCCAAACCTTTAAGTAACTTTGACGTAGATATGATAATTTAAAATATAATATAATTATAATATAAAAATAAATCAATTAAAAAATGTATTAATAATTATATATATTTAAAAATTTAAAAATATATTATATATTATTATATATAATTTTTATATAAAATATAATATAAATATATAAATTTTAATATTTTACGAGATACACAAATATTCGTATCCCTAGCTTTACTAACAAACATGCCTTTACTCAACCTTGCACTTTGTATCGAAGTTGAACATCACAGCCGACTTTACCACGTTTATCACCTGACTAGACAATTCTCACAATGGTGAAGTATGTCCAGAATAGAGTTTTAATTTTATATTAATATTTCAATTATTTATACAACATATAATTTTATAGTTAATATATAATTATTATTAAAAATAAAAATATTTTTGTAGAATGAGGATGAGCACTAATTTTAAAAACGATTTTGAAATTAAAACAATATATGGTTAGTTATTCTATTTTTAATTTTGTTAGTAGAGTGATATATTGCTAATTAACTACTTGCAAAGGTGATATTAAGAAAACAAAAAATTAAACAAAGTTAATCTATATCATCGCCAATATAATGTTAGTAGGTGAGTTGTTGATACAAGTTGGAAGAAACAAATTCAATAATAAAAAAACTCAATTATTAATATCACAAAAATAAAACAATAATGAAAATAAGAAAATATTTACCATTTACATTTTCCTTAAGAATTAAATTTCAAGATTTATTTAATCTTTTATTTTTTTAATAGGGTGTGCATTTTCATTTTAATTAAAAAGCTATTTTTTTAATCAAATTTTAATTCTATTTGTTTATACAATTATTTTGATGGATGATAATGAATAGTAAATAAATAGATATTCGTCATTATTTTATTTGTTTATATCAAATTTGGATAATTATAAACATATAATTAATGAATTCGTATAAAAAATTTATTATCCAAATGAATATAAATGTATCTCTTATATATACAATATCTGAATTCATTTAAGTTTTAATGAATAGTAATAAAAATTTGAATTCATATATGAATTTATTATCTATTTATATATATAATATATAAAATTTTATATCTGTACAAGGTTTTGACCTTAAAAATAACTTTTATTTATTATTAATTAAGAGTTAACTTAAATTTTAAATTAAATTATTATTTATTTTATATTTTGACAAAAAATTTAAATAAAAAATATTTTAATGAATTTAGATATTTAAATAAATAATATTTATTTAAACTGATTTGAATATTATAAATATTAATCGGATACAAATATTTTTAAAATGATGGAAATCAACTCCGTTACCATTCTTAGTTATTTTTAATAAATGATATCTAACGATTTGATTTTTAAATTTTAATATATATATATAACTCCTTTTATCTATATCCAAATTACGAATTTTTTGTTAAAAAAAGATTTCCTTGCTCACATGATTAATGCTACAAATGATTAATATATGTGATAAAAGTATAAAAATGTTAATTATGTTTATCAAATTTCTACATATGATTAAAAATTAGTAATTATGTGTGTACATTTATGTTTATAAAATATTATTTATTTATTCATTTTTTTTTACGTCATAAAATAATGCTACTCTTCTTCACAAATATATACTTTTTGCCCGCCATTTTACCGTACACATTCCCATTAACCAACCCAAAAGCTCCATCAAAGCAAAAGAAACGTCCCCAAAAAACTTCTTTCACATTTCCACTCCGGTCATTTTATCACCGTCACCACCGCCGTCGCCTCCTTCACGCCACTACAGAAAGAAAACAACCCTAACCTCTTCAATTCCCCGTGTTACGCTCTCAATTTCTCCAAAATTACATGTGAAATGAAATTTCTACGGTTAGGGTTTTGGGGAACTCGATGAAAAAAAGAAGGAAAACCATGGACGATTTCAAGGACTCGGTATCGAAATCGGTGAGCGAGACGGTGAACGGGTCGCACCAGTTCACGATCAAGGGTTACTCGTTGGCGAAAGGGATGGGTACCGGGAAGTGTATAGCCAGCGATGTTTTTACCGTCGGAGGTTATGATTGGGCGATTTACTTTTACCCCGACGGTAAAAATCCGGAGGATAATGCGATGTATGTTTCGGTTTTCATTGCTCTGGCCAGTGAAGGTACCGATGTTCGAGCACTTTTCGAGCTCACCCTTGTGGACCAGAGTGGGAAAGGGAAGCATAAGGTTCATAGTCACTTTGATCGGGCGTTGGAGAGTGGGCCTTATACGTTGAAGTACAGAGGGAGCATGTGGTAACAATTTGAGTTTTGGAATTTAGGGTTTGGTTCATAATTTATTTATTTGTGTTTTTGGAGAATTAATTTGATGATTTATAGGGTAATTGTTGTCTTATATTATTATATTGGTTTATGTTGGTGAATTGTGATCAGAAATGGGGGTGGGGAGATTAATGTTTAGGTGATATGAAATTGTTTATATGCTTTTGTTTAATGAATTGGTAAATGTGGGCGGGTTTTAGAACATGGTTGGTAATGTTAGGTTACATGTTTGGCAAATTCTTTTACACTTAATTTTGAGGATCTAAGCATCACACCAAAATTTATTTAAAGTGTCTGAGAATTACCAACTCATATAATTTAAAAACCATATAAAAGCAGCTAGTATAACTTAAGCAACTATGGTAAGACCCAATGTATAAAACAAGGAAATGAAAAATTGGTGGGAGGGGTGGTTCTAGGGGCAATGACCTGTAACTTGGGTCTTTTAGAAGAAATGATATGTTGGTGATTCGATTGGTTTCAATTTAAATGACTGTTCTTATTTATTTAAATTTTGCATGTCCATCTGTATTGTTGTTGAAATGTGCATGTTATTTTGATGAGCATCAAAGTTTCTCTGTATTAACTAATATGTTCATCCTATAAGATGTTAAAATTATATATTTACAAAGATGCACTGTATGCATTGGTAAATATTTCAATAATATGCAAATATATTTCCAGGTCTTATTTGGATAAGGTATTGATTTTACCTTGCCTCTTTCTTCCATGTATTTAGGGGTTACAAGCGTTTCTTTAGAAGAACAACTTTAGAAACTTCTGACTATATAAAGGATGATTGCCTAATCATGAACTGCACTGTTGGAGTAGTCAGAACTCGTCTTGAAGGACCAAAACAGTTTTCCATTCCCGTACCACCATCAGACATGGGTCAGGATCTTAAAGCTTTGTTAGAGTCTGAAGTTAGTTGTGATATAATTTTTCAGGTTGGTGATGAGACATTTAAAGCGCATAAGTTGATCCTTGCTGCCCGCTCACCTGTTTTTAGAGCACAGTTTTTTGGGCTTGTTGGGGATCCTAACATGGATAAAGTGGTAGTGAAAGATGTTGAACCCTCTATCTTCAAGGTGATGCTTCTTTTTTACTTTCTTTTGAATTTTTAAGAATGAATGTAGAATTGAGTATGTTGATAAGCAAACCCTTGCAATGATTATACGATTCTTTTTAATTCATTGAATTGGAAATAGAATTCAACAATTGTGGTTCTTATATTTGCTGGGTTGCAAAAATTTCATTTTAAATTTTAGTTCTGTAGATGTGCTATTTTCTTTTATTGGCTGATTAATTCAAATGAGAATTTATTCTTCCCTTGTCTGTTCTTCATCTTCTTCTTATTCTTCCAGGCAATGCTCTTGTTTATTTACACTGACAAGCTTCCTGATGTACAAGAGATTACTGGTTCATCGTCTATGTGTATTTCTACCAACATGGTGCAGCATCTTTTGGCTGCTGCTGATCTCTACAATTTAGATAGACTCAAAGTGTTGTGCGAGGCAAAATTGTGTGAGGAACTTAATGCTGACATAGTGGCAACGACCCTTGCACTGGCTGAGCAGCACCATTGCACACAGCTTAAGGCCATATGTTTGAAATTTGCTGCATCTCCAGCAAACTTAGGAGGTGCGTGTTCGTAGATACTACCAGTGCAAATTCCAGGTTATGTAAACTTGGTTTTCGTGTTCTTCGTTGTTTGCTCTTTAGAAGTCTTTTGGTGCTTCCTCGTGGACATTTAGCTCTTGGTTGATGCTTATAATACCTTAACCTCCAAGAGGATTTGGTACTTGAAATTTTTAGATAAAACTAGTTTGCTATGTTTGACTTTACATTTTAGTGAATTGCTACAAGATTGCAGATGCATATACCTTCCATTTATGCAAGAGTGCAGATCTTTATGCCTTTATATTATGAGGTTCTTTTTTCAGTCATTTTTATTACTTATACCCTACTCGCACTTTTCTCTCTAAGGAGCAACAAGTGGCCATGCATTAAGTACTATTTTTTATTAATCATTTATAACGTATTGATGCTGAACTTGACCACACCTTTGCAAACCTGGGAAAGGCAAATAGAAAACGAAGTGAAAAATAGGCATTGGTCTTACTGTCTGCCTATGTTAATTTTTGACAAAAATCTGTGCAACATTATCTTGGAGATAGAATATGCCACATTTTTCCTGTTGTAGTTTTGTCATTTGCATGTGGCATGCTTGTCTTTTTTAACCTTCGGGATCTTTGGTCCCCTGAGCATCCAGACAATAGGCAGAGAGTAATAGTGGTTACATGTTGCTTACTTTCTGAGGTAGGGGAAGACCAAAATAGTTTTTATACTAAATGCAGAAAATGGACTAGAGCAGGAAATTTGGTCTGTGCTTAGCAAGTTAAATGGTCAAAACAGTTCAATGCTTTGGATGTTGGACTTTATCAGTGGAATTAGTCTGGTTGGATGCACCAGTTGGTCATTTGTCTCTTGCAGTCAATTCTATTGCAAGTCTTTTTTTTTTTTCACTTATGTCTTACTGATTAATTGTTGACAGCCTGTGCATGTATTTGTTCCAGGGTTAATGGAAAGCAGTTGTAATAGATTTTTTGATTGGCATAAACTTAGTTATTTCTATTGAGAAGTTGAAATTATCATATTATAAACTAACATATTTTCTTGTTGGCAGTGGTGACACAAACTAATGTATGTTTTCAATGTCGTGCAGCGGTAATGCAATCAGAAGGGTTCAGGCACTTGGAGGAATGTTGCCCATCTTTGTTGTCGGAGCTGTTGAAGACCTTTGCATCCGGTGAGGAGAGCTCAAGTCTGCTGTCAAGTAGGAAGAGGAGTGGCAGCAGTGTATACGGGATAGATCTAGCAGCAGAAGATCCTGTGGCAGAACCGATGAATCCCAATGGCAGGCGTGTTAGGAGGCGTTGAATGGTAGGTGGTTTGGAGTGTTTCTACATACCTCCAAAGAGTGTACTTTTAACAAAACCCTAGTTATGTATTAAATGTTAATATCAGTTATAACTAGTAATACTTTTTTTTGTTCTCTGTATAAAGTTACTCTATTTTCTCAAGGGTTGAAATGTATTATCTCCAGCTTTTTCATATACAGTGCCAGTTATTTCTAGGACAATTAAAGCTCAAACAAAATGCCCGCAGCTGCAGGTAAGTACCAAACCCCACTTACAGCTTTTTCCACAAAGAAAGGTCTGAAGACATAAAAGCTGGAATGTACAAGATTCAAGGTTATGACATTGATAGAAACAAGAATTTTACTTATAGCTAGAGTAAGAAGAAGGGGATTTTTGGTCATCATGGAAATCAGGCCAGAGAAAGGCACCCATGGCGAACTGTCTCTTGTAATCCAGGTCACCTTTGGTAGACAGCCCATATTCAGCTAAAAGCCTGTCAAGCTTCCACTCTGGCATGCCCTGGTAATCCTTCTTGGTGTACCTTGGGTAGTGAAGTGGCATCTGAAAGAAGCTAACTACATTTTCTTTCTCACCCTCCATCACCTAATTTTCTGAATATCTCACTTTGCTCACACTTGGAAAGCTTAATGTCTGTTTTAATGGCTGAAGAACCAGCCAGGGGCAATTTATACGAGTCTGTTGGGTGTTATTAGGCATGTAAGGTATCACAAGAATTGGTTGATGCACCTTCTCTTCCGGTGCATTAGCTCACCATGTGGCAATGTTCTTGTGTTCTGGAGGTGAGGATTGCATGAATATTTGTCGTTATCGAGAAAAGTGATAAATCTCAAATCAGTTATGTATAAAAATAAATCTCGTATCAGTTATGTATGAAAATTTGATTTGAGATATAAATATTCTCACCATTTTTAGCTTGTAGGACAAAATCGCAAGGAGTACTTGGGTTTGAGCAAATAATACTTTTCTTTCAAAACTTAATCTATGAGCATTAAAAAGATGATAAGAGGATGGTGAATTCTCGTTAAGGTAGAGAGAATGTCATGATCCGAAAGAGAAGTCAACAGATTATATTTCAGAGTTCAACTTGAATATAGTAATTTATATTACCTTTTAACTCGTGAGATTCTTTTAAAAGATAAAACTGTTAAGTTCAATAAATCGAAATGACAATATCTTATAAATTGATGTAAACTTTGTTACTATGCCTTAAACAAGCCTGCCATGGATTCTTTCAGGCTTCAAGCATAGTCTAGCTGGTTTAAGCAAGCTGCAGCTCATATATTGTAACAAACAAAAGAATTTTTCCCACCTTACCTATTCCATCACTTACCTTGACCACTTCTAAATGGAGAGAAAACAATAACATAGACACAAATGCTTAACCATGATAACCAAGAATTCAACTTAAATAAAATCTAAGGTATCAGATCACAGAATCATGCAGGAAAATGAATTTAAAAAAAGACAAAAAAAAAAGTCAAAATCTGCAGTTACAGGCAGTGAATTGCATCTGTAGACTGTACGGGAAAAGATAAATGCCATGAAGATAATAATATTCTAGTTTGATCTTGGCGTGGCCCACTCGACTCGCAGGATGAGATTGTCATAACCATATCCATTGAGCTTGTTAATAGCTCTTTGAGCATCCTCTCTGTTTACAAAGTTGACAAAACCAAACCCTCTACTCGTGCCTGTCTTCTGATCCATAGCAACATACACGCGAGTCACAGGACCAAATGTGCGGAAAAGCTCAAGCAAGTCAGGCTCCCGGGTGTCCTCAGATAAGTTTGTTACCCTCACGGAGTTTTCATCATTCCTACGTCTCATATCTGATCCACCAGTTCTTTCTGCACCTGCTCTCATGCTTGGAGGGACATAGGCTCCCTTTGCAGCTCCAGTAGCAGCCACAGAGGTCTCCGATGCCGCAGGTTTATCAACAAAGGTTTCAACAGGAGCAGCAAGATCCTTATAAGGACATTTTGAAGTCCAGTGATCACCTTTCTTACCACATGTCCTGCACACCATGAGAACAGCACCTCCCTTGCTAAGCTGGGCCAAGCCGTCCCCTGCCACCTTTATTTCTTCTGGTTTGGTACCTGAAAACAACTCCATATTTCAAAAGTTTTCACATAAAAAAATCTGAACACTGGACGGAAAACAAAACTTCAGCCAACTATTTCAGCCATAATAACATAGTCTGAATGTGTCAGAGATACAAACAGTGGTACATGTTCCACAATCATAGATAAAAGCTAACTTGCAGGTCAAAATGTCATAGAGGGCACATGACAGAACAAAACCTTCAAAGTCTATGCTGAAAACACAAAAATTACAAAACACATGTTTCTTGAATGTTGTTAATGGCCCCAGAACGCAAAATGCTATAGGTGACCTATTGACCATTCCACATGAAACAACAGCCATTTGGCTAATACGTGATTAAACTTAGCCACCATGTTCTCAAATGAAAGAGAAAACCAAAATGAAATATACAAGCATTAACTTAAAATAAAAAACCATGTGATTTAACAAAAGCATTGGGAAATACCAATTCAAAGTAAGCATCTGATTAATGTAGTTAATGGCCCTTGAGTGAAAAATAGAGCTATATTTTCACTATGAAGAATTGCCACCAACACATGGTTACCATCGGCGGCTTACTGACCATTCACACGAATCACAATATTTTCACTATGAAAAAAGGCCACTAACACATGGTTACTATTGGCAGTTTATTGACCATTCATGCGAGTCACCATATTTTCACTATGAAAAAAGGCCACTAACACATAGTTACTATTGGTGGCTTACTGAACATTCACATGAATCAGCATCGACCAATAAGCGATTAGCTAATTCACCACCACAACCAAATGAATCAAATCAAGCCCCATTTAATCGTTTCTTTCACTAATCACTTTAAACATTCCAAAAAGTTACTATAAAATATATAAAAAATGATAATTCATTGAAAATGAATAAAAGGCCTGCAATGCAACAATAATTATATCATAATTATTCCATATAGAGACAAGACCATGCAATTAATTACCAATAAAATCACAAAACTAGCTTATAATTCTTCAATAATACTATTTGTTCAATACCAATTCTAACATATTTGTTCACAAAAAAAAAAAAAAAAAAGATAAAATCACAAATTTCTTCATCCAATAAAATTACCCTTTTACTAATTTATATCCAAATGCAATTTTTTGCTAAAAAAAGTCAGAACTTATTGACATAAATCAAACCAAAATAAAAGAAATTCAATAATAAACAATCACTCTAACCTAAATTTCAATCTTATTTTATTCAATTCCATCAAATCTAAAAAAGGAAAAAATAATAAAATTTAAAAAAAAAAAGAAAAGAAAAGCGAAGTGATAGTCGAACCAGGGGCTCTAGGTCGTTCAAGAAGGATCTCTTCAGTGGAAACCATAGTGAGCCGACTCCCAACATCTTCACGCACCGCATCGCCAAACTTCTCCCAATTCCTTCTCTCCAAAGCCCGTTTATTCAACCGGGCCTTCGCCAGCTTTCGGACTCGGGTCGTCGTAGTTATTTTCACCTTATTACCCTCCTCGTTAAACTTGTACTCGATCACTTTCTTTATCCCGTTTTCGTCTGGTCCGATTACCTCCTTGGGCGGTAACAAAAAGTCCAGATCGTCGTCTTCCTCTAGCTCTCCCCATCGGACTTTGCCCGTTTTAGATTGGTTCGGGTTCGCGTCGGTTTTGTCGAAAGCCATTGGCTCTGGGTTCGAGTGAGCTTGAGGTGGCGTGGATGGCTATTGAGTTTAGACAGGTAGAGAAGCGAGGAGGGTTTCGTACTTTAGATGTTGTTTTGTTTTATCTCCTCAAAACCTAAGCTACTTTTATAAATTTAATACTCAAATCTATTGATTTGATTTTAAAATTTTATTTTTATATCTAAATTTACTCTATTAAATTAATAAAATATTATTTTAAAAGATAGATATAAAATTAATTAAATACAAATATAAAATTAATAAATAATAAAAAATATATAAATTCGGTCGGAGTAAAACGAATTTATATAAAATTCGATGTTGATTTTTTTAAAAAATACTCAATCCTAAAGCTAATTATTAAAAAAAACGATTTTATAAGATTAGATTGTGTCGAAATTCTACAGATACGGATTGGATTATTCTTGTCTTTCTGTTAAATGTTGAGGTTGAAACGATGCCGTTGTAATTAAAGCCTACATAGACAGTACCGGGCTCCAGGCCCCCTAGGCCCAATATCTTAAACTTGAAGTGCTTTTCTTCCTTCATGGCTTTTACTAAATCGCATTGGCCCTAACCTTTACAGGCCCTCAAATTGCTATCAACCCATGGGCCGAAACATCATTTTACGATATAAATAATAATTGGTTAACATTATTTGTTCAAAAATCATCCTTCTTATTGATTAATCATTAATTAACATTACCGATAATCATATAATCATGCATCATTTTATTAATTCCCATATCGAGACTCACATGTTTAAATCATTCTCTTTTTTGGAGACTTGAATTTATGTTTATAAAACGTATTTTTTATGAAATAAAATTGTAAAATTTTGAAGTTTAAATAAAAATATTTTACAAGTTGAATGTAAAAATCTCATGTTTTAGTGTGATCTTAAGGTTAAAAAAAAAGTAATGTACAATTATCATCATCACACTTTGATCAATCACTATAATTGTTGTTCATTAGATTGTTATTTTATAATTATTTCACTCAACATATTTTAAGGAAGCATATATATAATAGATAAAAAAAAAAAAAAAAACTAAGTTTGGTGTTAGCTTTGTTAAATCATCCCTAAGTTTTAAAAACATTTTAATTATTGGCTATAAATAAATTCTTAATTGAGTCAACTAGAAAAGGTAATCAATCCTTTTTCAAGATAACATGGAAGTAGGTAATGATGGAAAAATTAAGCCTAAAAGGCTTATTATTCAAATATTCTTAAGATTTTAAGCAAAATTTGACTACAATTTTGGTTTCTATCCCAATTTGTTTGGTCATATTCCAATTGATTTATTGGCTCACCTTTCATGATGTCTACAAAGCATATCAATAAAAACCATTCTCTAGTCCTAATCGAGAATGTTTAGTCAAACATCAATTTTACAAAATTGGGTGCTCAAAAGTTTTTCTAAATTTAGAGTAGTCTAGCTAGTGCATGCGTGCCAAAATCATTTGCTATTTGAATTTGAAAATGAAATGGATGGCACTTGTTTATTTTTTTCTACATTGTGTTACAACATGCTACATCTTGTTTTCATCACTTATAAAATTTGAATACGTATGAATCTCTTTGATATCTGTATTATATTCATATTCGATGCATATACATTTTTATCTTTGTCTTTATCTTCGATAGTAAAATAGTTAGATTTAAAAATTTTTAGCATAAAGCCCATCATTAGTAGTTGGGGATCTTTTTTTCTTAAGTTTTATTTTTATTTATAATTTAAAAAATTAATTTCATTCATGACTTTTGAATTTATTCTAAATTCATTAATTCATTCATTCATCACTATATCATTAAAATTTAAATTTATCAAAACATCATATGATAAAATTTATTTATATCTAATCTAATTTCTAGTGAAATTTTGAAAAATGAATAAATTTGAAACAAATTCATAATCTCGGACGAAAATAAAACACTATGAAAAAAATCGAAAATTAATATGCAAATTATTTGAAAATTTGATATATTTTATACTTAAAAAGGCTTACACTACATGATTCATTGGATTTACATTGTTGCTGATACAGCAAGCAAAGACTGTATTTCTGGAAAAGCCGAAAGGCATGGCTATGTTACGTCATAATTCAACATACGCTCATGTGGGAAATGCTTTATGTATTGGTTTTTGGTCATTCTGACAAAAGCAGAAAAGAAGGATTTTTTTTTTTTTTTGGGTAAGAAATGAATCGGTTTGAGCTGTCTTTGCCAGTGTCGGTGGCAGCGATAAGACAACTCTGACACAATGGAATTTCATTTTTCACTCTTTTTTCTTTAATATTTTTTATTGACTAAAATATTAAAAAACCTTTAAATTATTTTATTTTTCTTAAATAAATCCTTATTATTTTATTGTATATAAATAATTTTTTTATTATATTCAAATAAATTTTTATTTCAAACAAAAATTGATTTATGTTAAATATTTATTATATACAAATTAAAAGATTAAAACTTATTTAAATGTAAATTAAAGTTTAAAGATATATTTAAATATAAATTAAAAATTAATAACTTATTTAGATATAATAAAAGTATAAACATTTATTCAAGTAAAATGATAAAATTTAAAATTTTTTTAATTATTTTAACCTTCTTTATTTAGTTTTAAGAATGACAATATTAAAATATAAAAATAAGTTTCTTGCTTATTTAAGTTAGAGATAATATTCAAATAAGTTTCTTGAATTTTATTAAAAAATCATATAAAAATACCTTTAAACTTTCATTGAAAGCATCAAAGCATATCAGACATTTGCTCATAGAAGAGACCTAAAAGTCTGCTTCAGCCATGGTTTCTTCACATTGAAAAAAGGCTACAAAACTTGGAAATGGTTGGCCGCCCAATTTCTCAGAAAAAAAGAGTAACAGCCATTCCTTTCTGACTAGCCAAGCTTTCAAAGGCAACAACAAACCTTGTCAATGCCTAGCATGTGAACTTTTCTTTATTTTTTTTGCCATTTCAAGAAACGAAACATCGCCAGACAACTTTTTTGCAAGGTTAAGATTAAGAAATTAATGCCCACAGATTTGGTTAACGATTTTTAATATGTGATTTTGCTTCCTTTGTGTGTTTTTTTTAAGTCTCTTCGTTCTCGTGGGGTGGGCTTCTTGTTGGCGGTTGCTTTGGCGTGATTATTGGTTGGCTTTGAACGAGAGTCAAAATTAAGTACGTGGAATCAGATTTGACATGGATCTAAGTTTTTTTTTAATTGAAATATTAAACTTTAAATATACTTAATGATAATTTTTAAATAATTATAATTATGATAATTTGTATATTTATATCATATAAAATATTAACATTTTTTATTCATATCATATTTTATATAAAAATTATATATCATAATTTATATCGATATAAAAATATAAAAATATATTTTTTATTTTATTAAATATATATAATATATATAATTATTATTAAAATTTTAAACCATCATTTTTATATTTTATTTTTATATAATATTTTTATCATATTTTAAATTACTAAATCTAAACAATTGTATATACTCCTAATTTACAACCATTTATGCCAAATTTCATGCTTTAAACAAGTACATCTTACTGTCTTTAAAAAAAAAGTGTAGTTCTTAATAGGGTAAAATAGGAAATTTTCTTTTATTATTGAAGTTATATTCTAATTTTATAATTTCTTTTATATATTATTATTTGATACAAAAATTGTTTAATTTTACAAAAATATTTAGAAGATTGATAGTTAATACATGCTCATTTAGAATATATATATTTTAAAAAGTGATTATTTAAGAATTAAATGGGCAGTTGATTAAACATGTGGAATTAAAAATTTATCATCGATATATAAAATAATTATATAATGTTGATTTGTCATGCAAGTTTATGATGCTGTATTTACATTTCAAGTCTCATTATTTTAACTCAAAAATGTTAAAAAAAAAAAAAAAACAAAGTAATGAGACAAACTAGTACCACTATTCATTTGAGTATTTAGTAATTTGAATAATTCCTGTTAGGTTAGTTGCGTTAACGCGTTAATAAATTTCTAGATTTGAAAGACCCTTTTTTTTTTTGACAAATTCTATTATTGAAAGCTTGAAATTTTGAGCTATTCCTTTCCATGTCTTCCATTTTATTTTATGGATAAGTCATGTCTTGTCTATCCGTCTTCGGTTTTTTTTGGGCATGATATAACAATATAATACGAAATTAAAATATAAATTGATATAACTTAAAATTTTAATAATAATTATATAAAAATTTAATAAAATTAAAAAATATATATTTATATTTTTTAATTAACATAAATTATAATACATAATTTTTATATAAAATATAATATAACTATATAAATTGTAATATTTTACATAATATAAATATATATCATCAAATCTATTTTTTATTTATTTACAAACTCCATTATGATTGGATGCTATTTTATTTACAGACTTTTTGTATTTATTGACATTTTTTATTTTTTTATAAATTCGATTCTAACTTTTTAAATAAAAAAGATAAATATCTATAATATTGTTTTTAAATTATATTTAAATTTATTAATTTTTATATTTGTCTAAACAAACTTAAAAAATATTAGAGTGTCATTTGTTCGATTGACCTTCCACATTATTTGAATTTGTATAATGTTAATGTTCGGCAAATTAATTTAATCAATTAATTAATTTATTTTGAGAATAAAAAATTTTGGATTCGAGTATCCTATTATCATTTTAAATTTACATATAAAATAGTAAATTTAAGAAAGTTACAAAAAATGTAAATGTGCCAAAATTCACTGACTGTGACAGTTAACATAATAAAAGCCAATAATCACTTTCTTTTATTCCATCATTTTCTCTACAACACGTTCGTCAGTAAAAATCTAGACCGTACATTTTATCCACGAACCGTAGCCCTTCCAAAAACCGAAACCACCACGAAATATCCCCTACAATGTCAGTTCCGTCGCTAAACTACTTCCAAAATTGAATTTAAATATTTAATTTCAAATCCGCTTAAAAGTTCACGTTAGTTATCTTCATCCCATTCTCGCCTTGTATAAATACCGCTCTATTTTCTGTAAAACAACGCCTCCTTTTCTCTCATCTGCCAGCTCAGCTACCGACGAAAAACAAAAACCGTTACTGCAAAAAAAAGCCAGCTAAACTCGTCCGATTCGACTCGTTTCCCCGCCCTTTTATGTTTTTTCATTTTTTATTTTTTGCCTCGAATCGGGCTCGAGTTGTAGTTTAAGCTGAGTTCGGGTTTGGATCTGGTAAGGCTTAAAGGTAATCGCTGAATTCTGGTCTTTTCGAGCTTTTAGCTTGAATATTTTGCGTTGACAATGTGATGTGGCCTTTGTCTTCTATTATTTTTGTTTGATTTCGTTGTTTTAATTATGTTTATTTTTAATTTTTATACGTTTTTTATTTTGGAGATTTTTGAGGTTTAATTTGATTTGCAATGTTATATTTTTTAGATCTGATTTCCTGCATGGTTAATCACGCATAAAAAAGGGAATCTAAGTTACTTTATTAATTTCATTATCGTTTGGGGTTTAATTTATTAATCTAAGTTAATTAATTATGTTTAGTCACGATTTTAATGGTGGTTAAGAATTCTACTAAAGTTTTCGATTCTTTTGGCTACGTTTGTTGTCAAATACTTTGCAAAGGTCAAGAATTTGCGTGTGAACAGATCAAGACTTAGATGACTATGATTTCCGCACTTGGAATTGTCAATTCAAATGTTTCTTTGTAGAAAGTTGTGTTTGTTTTATCGTTCTTGCGATGATTCAGTGGCGATTTTCTGGTTTCCGTCGCTCCATTGGAGAGTGGAAGCTATTTAAAGACTGCTCTTTTCCCTTGAAAATGAAAAAAGAACAAGATAAGATAAAGTAGCTTAAAACATCTGTCATTACTTTGAAGCTGGTTATATTGTGGCTGGATTTTGTTTTAGGTTCTGTGTGAATTGATTTGTCTTTCTCATTAAAGATACTGGCCCGTGGTATAGCTGGAATTTGTGTCTCAATATCAGCTAAACCGTTTTTGCATGTATTTTTGTCGTGCTTTTAGGTTTTGTCATTATGTTTTGGCTTATGATTTTGATCTTTCCACTTTTGCTTGGCTTTAAGTTTGTTTGGTTTTCTTGTTCTTGCGTGTGGTGAATTCGTGTCACCTTTGAATTCATGGTTTTCACTTCTGCTTTGCTTATCTCTTTTGTCATTGTTCTAGATCTACAAATGTCAATGCAGAGTTCTGTTTAGATTAATCTCTCTTTTCTCGTCATGTATAAGTAGAACATTTTATGGTTATTCATTTTGCGAAGCATATCTTAAGTTGCATTCCTATTTTAATCTGGATTAGACTACTGCTTAAGATACTGACTTTAGTTTCTACAGGTAAAGCAGAAGGTGTATCACAATGAAGGCACTTATTCTTGTTGGAGGATTTGGAACACGATTGAGGCCATTGACCCTTAGTGTTCCTAAGCCGCTTGTTGAATTTGCTAACAAACCCATGATCCTGCATCAGGTATTTTTCTGCATTAAAACCTTAATTCTAGAGTTCTGAGTACTTGGAAACGTTCATTTTGGTTTTTTGATTGTTGTTTTCTCAAGATAAGCTTGTTGATTTTTTGGAATGATGCATCTTGGATATTTTACAGATTGAGGCTCTCAAGGCTGTTGGTGTTACTGAAGTTGTTTTGGCTATTAACTACCAACCTGAGGTATGTGAGGTGTTTCCATTTGTAAGATCTGTACCATTGATACAATGGTTTGAAAGGTTAGTGGCTAAGTTTTTATAAGCTCACCAGTGGCTACGTGATTTTGCAGGTAATGTTGAACTTCTTAAAGGAATTTGAAGCTAAACTTGGGATCACAATCACATGTTCTCAAGAGACTGAGCCTCTTGGCACTGCTGGTCCTCTTGCTTTGGCTAGGGACAAGCTCATTGATGGTTCTGGTGAGCCATTTTTTGTCCTTAACAGTGATGTTATTAGTGAGTACCCATTCAAAGAAATGATTGAATTCCACAAATGCCATGGAGGAGAAGCTTCCATAATGGTAACCAAGGTAATAATTCAATTCTAAATTTTCTTTATTTTCAATTTCAATTTATTTTCTTTGGAGAGATTTTAATACTTGAGTCAAAATTAAATAGGTGGACGAGCCATCAAAATACGGTGTGGTGGTTATGGAAGAATCAACTGGGCAAGTAGACAAATTTGTGGAAAAACCGAAATTATTTGTTGGAAACAAAATTAATGCTGGAATTTATCTGCTGAACCCATCTGTTCTTGATAGAATTGAACTGAGACCCACCTCCATCGAAAAGGAGGTCTTCCCAAAGATTGCGGCTGAGAAGAAGCTGTATGCAATGGTCCTACCAGGGTTTTGGATGGACATTGGTCAGCCAAGGGATTACATTACTGGACTGAGACTTTATCTAGACTCCCTGCGAAAGAAAGCTTCAACTAAGTTGGCCGCTGGTCCCCACATTGTGGGAAATGTTTTGGTTCATGAGAGTGCTAAAATTGGAGAAGGATGTTTGATTGGACCAGATGTGGCAATTGGTCCAGGATGCGTAGTCGAGTCTGGAGTCAGACTCTCTCGCTGCACAATGATGCGCGGAGTCCGCGTCAAGAAGCACGCTTGCATATCCAGCAGCATCATCGGATGGCACTCCACGGTTGGCCAATGGGCGCGAGTAGAAAACATGACTATCCTCGGAGAAGATGTCCATGTATGCGATGAAATTTACAGCAATGGCGGCGTGGTTTTGCCTCACAAAGAGATCAAATCTAGCATTTTGAAGCCAGAGATAGTCATGTGACAGTGAGTTCAATTTTCCAGATAAGTAGAATATATTCTTCAGGAATGCCTTTGTTCATTTATTGTCTTTTCCCCCTCCAACACAGGTGTAAAACTCAGTTTCTCTAAGCCTGAGTGATGCGTGTTCGACGGTTCAAGGCTCATTTTTCGGTTGTCAACTGCGTGATTTGATCATTGGGGTGTAATGTGTAACTTTAGTGTTTGTATATACAAATAAATTATCAGTTGGTTTATCTGGGATTCTGTATTTTAATCATCGATGAATTTTATAATTGTATATTTTATTTGAGCATTTTAAATGAATCGTCGGTAGTTGTTATTTCACTATTCTTTCATGATCTTTTTTTATACGTTGATATTTATATGCTCCCACTGTCGGCAGCATTGGATCTGAATCTTTTCCTCACTTTTGGTGGACCAAAATGAAAAAAAAAAGAAGAAAAAACACCGTTCTTACTAGATTGACGAAGAAATTGAAAATGAAGAAAATCCGAATCTTCACAAAAAAAAAAAATCCTTCTTGTTTGCTTATTATAAAGTGATTAATCTTTTTTTTTTTGTTTGATTTGAGAAATAGGTGATCATTGAATCGAATATTCAGCTACGATATAGAATCAAATATTTGGAGTTTCGGTTAAAAAAGATCATTGAATTATATTTGGATTTATTGAATCAATTATTCGGATATAATAAATAATCAAATGCTCCGAGTTTAAGAATGGTTGCACAATAGTTGGAATATAAGCAAACCCAATCAATCTTAATCTTAAGATTAATAGCAAAAATAAAGTGGATTGGTACGTGGAAAGGTACATAGAGGACCCCAAATGAAGTTAAATTTTGTGGTTACCGCTCACCATTCTGCACCCCAAACTCAAAGGTCAAAGATTGTTGTGGATATTGTTTCAAAATTATTATAATTTTTTTACAGAAAAATTTAAGATAAATAAATTATTTAATTTTTTAAATTAAATTAAAATATATTATATTTAATAATTTTAAAAAATAATTATAAATTATATATTTAAAATAATTTTAACAAACGATCATCCATAAAATTTAAATTTAAAATTAAAAAAAAAAAACAAACCCTAATGAATTAAGCCTAACACTGATTGATAAAATCATTATGATTTTGTTTTTTATTTTTGGGCCCCTAAATTTGATTTTGCGTTTGCTCTTTTATGGAGCATAACTCCTGCAAAAGGCACCGACTCAGTTTCCTTTCCAATGTCGTGTCAAAGCAAGTGCGAGTTGGGGTTTTTTTACCCTTTTTTTTTTCTCTGTTCAATCTCTAATGTATCATCGTCATCATTCATCACCAAAATTAATGGCTATTATTACGCCTAAATCAATTAATTAATGTTAAGAGCTTGATCAACGCAATTAGACTGATGGGTCATCCAGGTGAAGCATGCCTACCGCCACGTCACTTGCTATAATGAGGTGGCTCGTTCTTCAGTAAAGAGACTCACCTAAAATCTTATCCATGATTTATTAAAGTAATCACTTCAAAATTGATATATTGATATTAAGTAATTAAATATGATTTATCTTTTTTTTTTTGAATTTACATAAATATTACATTAATTATCAATTATATCAATTAAATCATATTTTTTATCTCACAAAAAAAAAATCATATGCACAAAATAACATAAGAAGTAAGCTTATCAACCTCTCTCTAAGCTCTCTCTCTTTTGAATCTTCTCTCACATATCTCATCATTTCTATTTTAACTTAGTACATAATTTTATGCATTACACTGATTTGAGTGTCAAATCATGTTTTGAAATAATAATTTCGACATCTCCTGATCATGCTTTTTGATTGTAGATTACCATTGTCTTTTCTTCTCACTTCCCTCTTTTCATTTAACACATTTGAAAACACCATCAACAATTATGCAGCAGAAATGAACTCTCAAATTCTTACCTAATTTTGATTCAGTCAAGCTATGTAGCCAAAATCCTCTAGAAACACAAAATTCCCACGTTTTTGATTCATTTTCCTTGGTTTATGATGCCAAATTGCCAATAGAATAAAGCCAATTAAAAAGCAAAACGTGTAGTGGGAATTTCCTTGTTATTATATGAGGGCTTAAGCTTTTTAGCCATCAAAATCTTCCAAGATCTTGATAATTCAATCCTTTAATTGTAATTTATTTTGTAGAATCTTCAATGAAAATAACATTCAACTTTCACAAAAGAGCCCATTTCTTTTTCTGTTCTTTTTTTAAAAAAGAAATTAAGGAAAAAAATTCACTCAAGAGAAAAAGTATGAGGGAAAAAATTATTAATACAATCAATTGTAGCCTAGAATGTGGAGAAGTGACATACTATGGGACACAAATATATTTTGTTTATATTTTGTCATTTATGTTGAAAATTATTAATAATTAAACATTGAAGTTGGTAAACCTACTACCTCAACAAAAAAAAAAAAACATCCATGAAGAAGCTTTAATAAAGATTAAAAAAAGAGAAAAAATTGTCATGTTAAAATCATACTCTAATCATTGAGAGAAAATATATCTTTAAAATGATTTGATTTGAATGAAGCTTAAAATTAAGTAATTTTTTTATAAAAATAAAATATTTTAATTTTTTTACAAAAAATGCTACAATTTGAAATATAAAAAAGATCATGAATATTAAAATTTAAATTTAATTGAATGTTATTTATTAAGAGTGATTATATGAATAAAATGGGATAAACTCCAAGTTTAAACTCTGAATTTCAAATTCATTATCTTTAATTAAAAAAAAAAGGAAGAATCAAGATTGAACAGTCATAATAAATGATTTTCTTTAACTGTTCACCCTTGAATAATATAAACTAAACAGATTAATTTCCATTTCCCTTATGTCTATCTCTCTTGCTGACCAAAAATGAGGATAAAGAGCCTAAACAGCATATTCCCCAGTCACTATCACTATTTTATGACAGGATACAACAGGGGACATGAATGTTATCAAAGACATTGACTTGTTGAATTGTTGTTTTCAAAAACAACAATTGAAAAAAAATTAGTTGAAATTTTGTTGCTTGCGGAAAATGCTCAATGTCATGACAGCATAGCTGTAATTTCCTTTGGCTGAGTTGTATCCATTAATGTTGAGTTAAAAACATAGTTTTTCATCCTGTTTTCTTACTTTTTTTTTTTTTTTTTCTAATAAAGCATATTGCAACATGAGAATTGGATTTCTATACGAATTAACTTAACTAAATTTCGATTTTTTTTTCTTTTAACAGATAAACAAATGAAGAAACTTTGTCTACATCAGTACTCTTGCCACTGCTACACGAAAACTACCCAACACCAAAGATCCATCCTTTTTGTCTTGTTTATGAAAGTTCCTAACCTGACAAGTTTGTGATAGAGTAAGCAGGCACATGACAAGTTACCAAGAAACACAAACATATATGTCATGCTCCAACAATACATGTTTGTGCATGCACTGCAGCAGAGTTGCCTCAATGACTAGCTAAGAGTACACTCTCATGTCTCAGCCTATACATCAGTCATCCATAAAGACTGGTTTAGAATTTCGACTGCATATAGACGGTTGATCATTCGGAAGTGCTTTGATAAGATTGTGCATAACATTGTCTTCATGTCAATTCTTATGCCTTTGTGACGGTTTCATTGTATTTTTTTTGGTACACAGTTGCAGGTCATATTCGGATTCGAATTTTAGACTTGCCGAAGGCCAACTCTCAAGGGTGGCTACATGAACCAACTAGGCTAAGCCTTGGTTTTTAAGTTTCATTGTATTTGCAAACGTGTCTTGACAGTTAATGCATGTGTAGCAGTTTGGCACCCATAGATCATAATGATAGGTAGATCACTGTCCTTAGCATTCTCCTTTCTGACAAAGAACTCAATCAATCCGCATGGATGAAAACTTGAGACTTGTTCTAATCCAGCAAAGATTTTTTGGCATGCCAATGAGTGCAAAAATTGCTCTTATTTTGAATCAGGACACTTGAGATTTTGCTGTTCTATATTTCATGTATCTCATTTATGTCGGAAAGCATGGAAACTTCAAATTCTTCTAGACTATAACACCATAATGATTGGAAAAGCGATGTTCATGTTTTTGTCCTAACCTGGCATAGCCATATTTCATGGATAAATATATATATATATATATATATATATTATCATGAAATATGGCTATCCAGTTCGTGAAATTCAATCAACATATGTACAATGCATGGTTGCAGAAAAAGGACAGAGAAAAAAACTCAGTGAAAGTAACAAAAGAAAATGCAAAGATCATCTATGAGAAGTTTCCCACAAAGTTAGCACTATTTCGCCGCGGAAAAAGGAAAACTAAATCAATACTACTTAAAGAAGAATTGAGTAAGGAAGGTGGTATTGATTGGGGTCACTTAAACTGTAGCCAAAAGCCAAAATGTCACATGAGAAGATATGGCAAGGAGGAACCATGAGATAAAGGCCAATAATATGGATGCTTCGAAACGGGTGCATGGAATTTGAGGTGATCTGCAGTAATCCAAGTCTCTTGAATACAGGACTGTCACTCCAGCAGATGAACAAGCAGCTGCAAGAGATAAAATAGTAGTCACCTGCATTTACATCATTATCTTTAATCTGTTAGATTATTAAAATGAATGAATATTAGTGAATTTGCACAACATGATTAGGGATACAAAGATTGAACTTGCTCAAGAATGGCATCAACAGCTCTTAGTTGTTGTCTTGTCGAGACCTTTGGAGAAAATCATTCGTCAAAAGTACCGAAAACTGATAAAGTTTTACCAAATTATATGTTGTTGAGTTATATAAACAATGGGAAAACTTGTAGCACTTATTATTCGCTAAACATTCAGAATCTTACAATGATGCTCTATGAATTAGTTCTGTAAATTAAAATACATATATATCAGGTTATTCAATCATCTATTTAATGAAGAAAGGATAACAGGCAGATTGACAACACTGAAAAACTAAAGAGATTCACTCATGATTAAATAAATAGATAACAGAAACAAGCTATCGGTTCCCCTGGAAGACCTTCATTACCTTTTCAAGTCATGGTTTTTTCTCACCAAAATCACCTTACAAGTATGAGTTCAAGTCTCTACATATATACCATAGCAGATTCTCACAATATCCCGATGAGATGAGATTGGGGTGTTATGCATCAAGAAGTTGAAATTTAATCATAATGAGTTCCTTCTTTTATTCTTAATTTCCTCATTTATGTTTAGGGGTAGACTTCTCCAGCCAATGATCAGACATGAATGCATAGTGTTGGGAAACAAATACAATGATTTAAGTCGTAGGTGTCCTTAGAAGTGTTTGTGCATTACTGCAAACATGATTCAATGAAGGAACAAATGTTGAACGAGAATTACCCAATCACCAACAACAAACAGGCTCAATAAGGCAGGATTCTGCAGGTTTCTCTTTGACGTCAGTGCCTGCAAATCAAGACATGCAAGTCCAAAACTCCACAAAGCTTGAAGCCCCATTGATGCAATCAAATAGCTGAAGCCGACAAAGATGTACAGAAACAATGGTGACATAACAGAAATTCTACAGCAAAAACCTTAAGGAGTAAAAGGGAATTAATAGTAAGTACAAACTAAGCAGAGAGACCAGAATAGTGAATCAACTTTGAATATTAGAAAATTTTAGGGTTTGAACAATGAACAAACCATGCACTACAAATCAAATTGATCTTTCAGGAGTTCCCTAATCATGTAAGAGTAGGCCAATGAGGGCACAATGGGTCCTTCATCAGATTTGATTATGCTTTTTCCATTGGCAGCCACTGCAATTAGTCATTGCTATATCACACCACAGCAACTATACTAATGGTCATGTTTCTGACTTAAGGCCATATCATCAAATCTGTTTAGTTTTGCCTTAACAATAGCATAATCTTTTCAAGTTTCTGATTACAATTGCATTCACATTACTGTTATAAAGGCAACTTCCTCTAATTTATTAGACATAGTTGTTTCTCTCCCTTTTTAAGAAGGCCCTTACATGACAATTTGAGGGTGCCATTATCAAATATTTTTTCAACTATTTCTGATTTTCCTTTCTCATTGGCTTATGTGGACAGAAAGGTAAAGAACACACCATTGTCATTTCTTTCACTGTAGACATTCTTTTGAGTTTCTGAACCGTTTATGAAAACCTTGCAAAGATTGCATGTATGATCAATCTCTTCACTTCTCCAGAACCACTTAGACATTTTAAAAACCCAAGTATGCATATGATCTAGTTTTTCAAAGATGAAAATGAAACTATTAAACAAACAAGGAGAAATGAAGACAATGACGTTAAAGTAAGGAAGAACATAACCCAATAAGAGAAGAAAAAGTAGTAAGGAAGAAGGATAGAACAAAAAAAAAAAAAGTTAAAAGTAATACCAGAAGGCAGTGGAGTTAGAAAAGCCATGAGAAGAAACCATGACTCCAATTGAAGCAGCAGCAAACAAACACTGACCTATTCTCAGAAGCAGTCCACTCAACTTTCCTGGACTTCCAAACAAGGCCATATCTCTTAAAACAACATTACAGGGTTCTACAGGAAGAACAAAGAAGATAAGGTCAGGGTAAGGGAAAGGAAGAGATGCTTGTGTCCAACAGCTTTAGCTTACAAGAAAGCAAAGTTGCAGAAACCTAACTAACTTTTAAGATTTTTGCAGATGTGGGGTTACAATTTTAAGAATCTGTTGACTCAAATGAAGAATGCTCTTTTACAGGAAAGTGACATTGAGTTATAATGTTGGACAGCAACATCACCTTGACCTTTTGCTGTTAATCTTTTAAATTTTTTAATGGTAATTGGTAAAGTGGGATTCATTTTCTTTTCTTTTTCAGTGAAGTGAAAGTAAAGATTGTTGACATTAACAGGGGAAGCAGTAGATCAGGGAAAAAATAGTTAAGTTTATTTGAAAGCCAATGCTGCAAAATGTAAAGTAACTGATGGAAGTTCTTTGAACACTGGTTGATGACTTCTTCAGTTTATCAATAGAAAGAAGGAAAGACTGAGCGAATACTTAGCAAAATTGATAGCTTTGTTTGCCATAGCCAAAGTTAGAATATATAGAAGTGAAGTGCTAGCCTGAATTTTTTTAGTACTGAGACAGCATTTAGCTTTGCTGATGCTTAATTTTCAGCCATGAAATCTATTAAAAAAAAAAAAAAACCAAAGCAAAAGGATACAATGATTTTTATTTTCAGCCATGAAATCTATTAAAAAAATTCATTTGAATTGCTAATCACATTTAATTATATTTAATTTCATTAAGAAATGAACAATTAATTTTTTTATATTGGGGAAGCTCAAAATAAGGTTGATTCAGGCCTAAATCAACCCACTTTAGGCCCACTCGGAGGATCAATTTTGTCTAAAATTAAGCCCAATTCTGTTGCAAATGGGACCATTCAGCCCAATTTAAGCCCACCTTGAGAACCAATAGACCCAAAATATGACTCACTTTCTAAGAAATAGCCCAAAATAGCCCAATTAGGGTCAATTAGGCCCAAATTTAGGCCGAAATTATGCACAAAATAGCCCAAACCGGGCCGAATATCTTTATCATTCAAAACCTAAAACCCTCGTGGCACAGAATCTAGCTGATCCTAAAACCCTAGCAAACCCTCTCTTCTTTTCAGCTCGATTTCCATGGCCTTCTCTTCGATTCTTCGCAAATCAGCCAACTCGTTGGCTCCACTCGCGATTCGGCTCACGCGTGTCCAGCGAATCTACAACTCTTGCATCTTCACAGCCTTGAACTATAGCTTCCAGTCCCAGCAGCCGACTGTAAACCGTTTCTACCAAAATACCGTTCATTTCTCAACCGCTGTTGATTCTAGAAAAACCACTTCTGATGAGTTTCTTATCCGAGTTCTTGAGTCTGAGATTCAGTGTGCTGAGGAGAGTGACGACTATGATCGGGTGAGTAATTATTATGCTTATTTTCCTTTCCTTCTTCATATTATTTTTCGAAAATGGAAAAAATATTGCAAAATTTTTTTTTAAATCATTTTTTCCCCTAAAAACTTGGAAGCTACTGAAAATGGTTTCTGAACATAAAATTTAATGTTTTGTTCCTTTTTGTAATTTCAATTTCATAATTTTTTACTAAATATGGGATAAACATTGAAATTTTAGGGTTTTTTTTTATATTTTCCGTTTCATGGTTTCAGGGTTTCGAGGAAATGTTAAAAAAATTAGTTACTTTTAATTGCTCCCCTAAACCTGTTTTTAGCTATTCACAGTTTGGTTAATGAGAAAAGTTCATAATACTTAGCATTGATGCTTTGTTTTCAAGCTGAAAGTAATATTTCTAATATGTCTTCACAGGTTGAAGAAGCTCCAAGTGGATTTCCATTCGAAATCGAAGATACTCCTGGGCTTCAAACTGTAACATTGACAAGGGAATATGATGGTGAACTCATAAAAGTTAATGTTCACATGCCTGATCTCGTTACCAGCGATGAACAGGAGGGGGATGAAGATGATGGGGATGACACTGAGAAGCCTAATAAATCAAGTATGCTATTGGTTGTTACTGTGTCAAAGAAAGCTGGTCCTAGGTTGGAGTTTAGTTGTACTGCTTTCCCTGATGAGATTGCCATTGATAGTTTGGCTGTTAGAAATCCTGATTCTGAGGACGAACTTTCCTATGAAGGCCCTGATTTCTAGTAAGCTTTTTGTAGTTCATGTGTAAATGCATTGAATTCATGGAAAAATCAGGATTTTGATTGCGCTGCCGCTATAACTAATGTTTTCGTTTTTATGTTTTGCAGTGATTTGGATGAGAACTTGCAGAAGGCTTTCCACAAGTATTTGGAGATAAGAGGAATCAAGCCTAGCACTACCAATTACTTGCATGAGTACATGATCAACAAGGATAGCCAGGAGTACCTTAGATGGTTGAAGAACCTTAAAAAGTTCGTTGAAGAATGAAGGATTTATAGCTTCTTACAAAAGTTTATGAAAAAGAGTATGCGCCAATGTTATTCTCCTTCGGTTAGGAGCTAGCACTGTTGCCAGTTATTGTATGAATGGAATAACATATGCACATTTTTATGTAGGTGAAAAGGTTTTTGAAATTATTGAAGTTGTTAAAATGGCACATGCATGCAATTTAAGCTCAGATCACTTGTTGCTTTACTTGAAGAATAATCTGTCTCACTCTTGTCTGAACTATATTCTTATCGAGTATTGTTGCAATTGAAAACAAGTATGCAAGAATGTTACTTCATACCTACAGAAAGAATAAGGTGTTTGAATCCGGAGTTTAAAACAAGTGGTTTATACATTCACCGAACATCCATTCAGATTTAGTTCAAATTTCAACATTTGCAAATTCTTTTTTTTTTTTATCCCTTAGCTGTGACCTCATTTGTGTTAGGAAAGAATTGCAGATATTAAAATTTGAATCTTAGAACAAGTTGAAACCAGATTCTAGTCCGAAATCCTGATAAATTCCCAAAATATAGATAAGGAAAATAATTGAAGGGGATCGGTGAGATTTTTAGTACATGAGCAAAAACCCTAATTCACAAATTACATCAGAATACTAATATTCATTTTTCTACTTTGGAGTCTCACAAAACAAATTATTACCCCTAATTTCTATCTATCACCCTTGAAAAAATTTACTTATTGCTATCTATTCCTAAGTTACAAAACATATGAATGCACCATAGCTAGAATTTCATAATAACAACACCCTCACCAGACACTCCTATTTGGACCAAACACCACCTTCTCCCCTTTAAAACTAAGGATAAGACAGAAATGACAAAGAAGACAGTAACCTATCACCAGCTTCCGGTATTTTCCCTTGCATTTTAGCTTCTCTGATAGTACATTTTTAAGAGTCAATGGGTATGTCTTTGTGGATGTACATAACCCCTTTATCACCATCCACCACCTGCCCACTTCCTTTGAGAATCCTGTATTTGGGGAAAAAGGGAGTTTTAGTAAGGTAAAAGAACATTAAATATTAATCAACTTGAACTCTTCGAATATAACCGGGACTAGACATGCACAGGAGCATGTCAACTATTAATTTCATTGGTCATAAAACCAATGTGTAATTTATTTAACAGAAATTTATAAGAATATTAGTTCTATCAGTTTTTTTCTTGGAATCTCACAATAATATCATCAATATTAAGACCAACATATAGTATGTTACCAGAAATGATAGCCTGCCTGTAAAGTGATTTCCTAGAGTTTAACATATATGTACAAATGTGTGTATATATAACCTATGCAGCACAAACAATGCAATATATGTAGTAGATAAATGAATTCTTAATAGATCCATACCATTTTGTTGTTAACAATCCTTCAACTCCAACAGGACCCCGAGCATGAATCCTACTTGTACTTATCCCAACCTATTCAGTTATTGAAGAAAATCAAATACTTAAACCTATGAACTTGAACATATTAAATAGATACTTAAAAATACAGAGAAATGATACCTCAGCTCCTAGCCCAAATCGAGCCCCATCACAAAATCTTGTGCTTGCATTGTGGAAAACAGCAGCACTGCCCATTTAAATGCAGGGCATGTTACATGATGACCCAAAATTAAAGGAGCCAGTGTTTTAGCAGAGTCAAAGTATTTTTTGCACTCAAAACCAAAGTATTAGCTGTTGCATTTTCTTATTTTAGATGTTAGAGTAAGATGAGAGAACAGAAACTCATCAAGAATTTAAGTTACAGAATAACATACAAGCTGATGTTTTAGAAACTAGATAATTGAGGTCTTACCTGTCAACTTGATGCAGAAATACTTCTGCAATTTCTTGGTCTTCTGTTATGATACAATCTGTGTGTGCACTGCACAAAAAGGAAAAAGAAGTTAATCCATGTCCATCCACACATGAAAACATACACATATATCCATACATAAAAATGCAGCCAAATAGATGTCAACAATCTTTTGTGCCAAGAGTGAGTAACATGCCTTCCATGATGATGGATATGATCGATGGCTGCAGCTACATCATCCACTATTTCAACAGTGCAAGCCATTGAATTGTATTCATGATGAAATGAGTGTGCCTGTGGGATATTCAACAAGGAACTTGCCCTTGGTCCACCATATAAATTAACACCTGCAAAGGATGCACTACTGTTGGTTATCCATTAGATATTCCAAAAATTGTTTTACAATCCGTTTCTAAAGGTGTAAAAATTGCATCCTACTAAATTTGGCACCGCAATAACATAGGTTCCAAACAATAGAAATCAAGAAAAACAACAAGGCTTTAAAAAATACCAATGCAGATAACAATCTAAATAGTACAGTGACACTTCTTGTCAAGTTATTCTATTAAGTTGTCAGCCATTCCAAAAAAGGGTTAGGTTATCATATAGTCATAAAAGCAGTCAAGAACTGTTATAAACCCAAACAAAATTTAAGTTGTATGATAGTTTTTCTGTAGCTGGATTTGCACACAATGAAGTTTCGAAGAAAGACTATCCATTTCCTTCATAGTGCTGGATAATTATATATAAATTTAAGTTGTATTATAGTTTCTCATGTAGCTGGATATGTATGAGATGTACCTAAGAATGAGCTCAATGGATTAGTATGTAGAAATAAAATCTTTCAGCTGATAAAGCTACTAAACTAGCTCAAGAGAAACCATCATACTCAAAACACAGTCAAGAGTTTTATAGACATTCACTTTGTTCAAATATTAAAATTCAGTACAACCTAAGTGTAAGTGTTAAACATAATGCAGAGATCTAGGAATTTAAAACTCAGAAGCATAGACTATCCATTGCCTTCATTCATTCTAAAACCCTAGGTGGACATCTCATTGATTCCACTTTTACAAGTTGAAAGAACTAATTCATGGTGCTTGGCGTCAATTTTTTCCCCTATCCATTATCATATTTTAACTGGAGCTATTCACTTTCTAATAAAACAATTAAACATATGGCAGTCATGGGTAATTTTTAAGCATCATGTATTATAAGAGACGTTGTTTGCTATGTACCTTCTACACGAAGATCAACAATTAGCTCATTAAGTGCACCAATGTGCACTAAATCCTTGTGTACAAGAAGAGTTTCCTGCCAAAAGTAAAAGAGAAGCATTAAAGAACAACGCAATGTCATGAAGACAATCTGAAAATATTCAAACAAAAATAGAGCCTCAAAGAATAACATTGACAATGTTACTCAAATTTGTCAGGAAGAAATAAATCGACGCATGAATGGTGAATTACCATTGCATTACATGCAGCAGGATAATCTGTTTTTGCATCCAAAACAATCCGCTTTGCCATATCCAAATCAGCAGACTTATCAACATACACATGGCAAATTCCATCTGAAACAAACATTATATTTTACAACATGAGAACCAGGCAGCAGTATCTTTTCGTTATAGAAACAAAATTACCACACTAGGCCAAGCATATGATAAATGGTTAAGACAATAGCAACCCATCTAACCTGCATGACCAAGAACAGGAATTTTGGTTGAACTCTTGATTTGGGAAACAAGTTTGTTGCTGCCTCTTGGGATCACAAGATCAATCACATCATCAAGCTGAAGTATAAATGTTAATACTGAGTTCCAAATTAAAGTGTTCAATATTGTTATGAAAGTATCTGTTCTAATGATTGGTCACTTTAAGATCTACTAACCTTCAAAAGATCAGAAATCTCCTCTCTTGAAGTCACAAGTCCAATAACTTGGCCTCCAATAGTGTCTGGAATGGCTTCAGTTATTACCTATGAATTCAAAAGAAAGCTATAAAATATCAGAAAAGAAATCTAGACAAGAAATCACATTTCATTACATTCAAGAAACTCATTTTAGAATTCAAACCTTATGCAAAATAGCATTTGACTGCTTGGCCTCCTTTCCCCCTTTCAAAAGAAGCCCGTTCCCACTTCGGATAGCTAATGATGCTATCTATTCAAATCATACATAAAGCCACAGGAGCATATTCAGAAATTGAAACATATACAAGAAACAGCTCTTAGCTCTACCTCATACAATGCAGATATTTTTTGCATTTTCCTTCCTTGGTCAAGCCAAATCAAAGTTAACATACATGGGGTAGGAACATAAGTTCACCTCAGAAATAAAATAATCTATTTAAATCATTTGCCTTATCTACGCCATATAGAAATAATGGAGAGGATTTTCCAAGTTGTAATTCTATTTACCTGCACAAGTGCATCAGGTCGAGATTCAAAAACAATCAAAAGAACGCCCAAAGGACTTGATGTTTTCTCCAAAATAAGTCCATCTGCAAGCTGAAGGCAAAGACAACCATCAGACAACTATTCAGTCAAAAAGTTCTAGCAATTCTGTTAATAAGAGCTTTGGCCAAAACCAAACATAGTTTTGTCTCTAATATAGTCCCCCCAACCCCAAAAAAGGGGACCTTTGTTGCCTCGCTTCTTTAAAGGTTTAGAAATTAAACAACTACATTTCAAACCAAATGAAATTCACACAGTGTATCAACCTACTGAACATATGGACTACCTCTTTATTACCTGTGTTTTCTTCAAAATACGGCCAATTGGGTCTTCCATGTTAGCAAGCACACGAATTGACTTTGCAAGGTTTGAAATCTGTGGAGTACAAGGAGAAAATTCAACAACACAGAACAAAACTCATAACTATAAATTAATCTGCGAAGGCACAAAGGTACAGTTGGAATTTGGTGTACAAGGGTTTCATCTGCTTTTGATATTTGAAAACATTGTCAAAGCTGAGAGTTAATAAACAGCAACAGTAATTCAAATTCAATATGCAAACATGGACGGACTACGTTTAGCATTTTACCTTCCCAGGCTTCAGAGCTAGCCTAGATATCAAGGATTTCTCGTATCCAGCCTCTTGTGCAGCAGCAACATCAGCTTCATTCTCAATAGTGATCAATTTTTCATTAGCTTCGAGAGCATCAGCTATGTCTAGTAAAATCTTTTTCCGCTCTTGTGAAGACAATGCCTGAAGAACAATTGCCATTATGTTATTTTTGCCCCTAGCCAAGAGATGTTGGCATCCGGAACCACAACTTAAGAAATAAAAAATGTTATCACAAAAGTAAGCACATAAAATATTTGGAGCCACAAAGCAATGAAATATTACCTGAAGTCGTCTGGACCTTTCTCTTGCCGCAACTGCCATTTCACGGGCACTAACTTCTTTAGTCGGTTCCCAAAAATGTGCATCTTGATGAAAAAGAGTGCCAATTCGTTGTCCTTGGAGGACTTTTATTATGTTCTTAGCAGCATATCCACTTCATAAGAAACAAAAGAGAAATTACTGGCAATTAGGCAGAAGGCAAGTGTCTCACACCAGCATGGCAGCATCAGATATGAATGCAGCAAGAATATTTGTTTATAGCAAAAGCTACAAGCTCTAGACAAATAAGTTTTCATTGCTTTTCCTTGACTTGCAACTCATAGAACAGCATATAAGGGTTCTTAGATGGGATGACGCAGGAGGGGTTAAATTGCTGGAATTTTCCTACCCCTCAATACGCTTACTAGCAGGAAACTGGTCAGTATGTTCATTTCATTTTAAATGATTGCAATCCTATCAAAACAGTATTAAGTAATTTTAGTTGATCCTATTTATTATATTTAACATGTGTCAAGATAAAGTAAAACATTGCATAGTGCAAAACCTGGAGTAAAGGATGAATTATACCTGGTGATAACAACAGGAATGCCAGCATAAGCTGCATTGACAGCAGCTTTTACTTTTGCAGTCATACCCCCTCTACCCACCCTTGACTTGTCTCCAAAGGTAATCTCATGCCGATGTTTTTCCTTAACATACGTGTGGATGAGCTTTGATTTTGGATCACTTGGAGGGCCACTATAAAGACCCTCTACATCACTCAACAAAACAAGAAGATCAGCTTTTAGTTCTAATGCCAGTAGAGCTGCTAAACTGTCATTATCCCAAAATATACCAGAAGAATCCTGCAAAAGTGCTCAAATTATAACCTTTACGACGAGTCAAAGCTTTTAAACACTTTTTCTTTTTTTATTTTTATTTTTATACCAACACAGAATCTCACAATATCTGTTTACAACATGCATTAGAGCTTTGAGAAATAAGCTTCTATTTATGATGCATTAAAGTGTATTCGTACAGCCTCCTAAGATTAAGCTTCTACTTATGACGAAGAACAAGATGTTTCATTCTAACAATAGATAAGATTACTGTAGGCAGAGGGATAGCATTGATCCAGGTATTGATATAAATAGACATGAAAACACGTTGAATGTAATGCATTACAATGTATTGGTACAGCCTCCAGATTAAGCTTCTACTTATAATGAAGAACATCACTTTTCATTCTAGCGTTGGATAAGACTACTGTAGGCAGAAAGGGATAGCATTGATCCAGGTATTGATATAAAAGGAAATCATCACATAGGAAAAAATTATCAGTATGATACCTCATATGGAGCTTTCCTGGTACTGACAGCATCATTTTCATTAAAAATCGGAATAACTTTCAGCGATAATAAAGACCTCACTGTTACATTTAGTTGCTTCCTAAAATCTTTATCTCTAAAATCACTGTCTGTTACAAGAAGTTGAGCTGACGAAACATCCAGCTGCAGCCAAAAAAAAAAAAGAGGGTATTTCAAATAAGCTCTATGTACCACTGATATAAGCATACATCTCAAAAATGGAAATGAAAAATTCCAGTGAAGAAAGAATGAACTCTAAGACAATGAACTTCAAGAAAAGATCAGTCTACTGCAGCCATGAAATAGAAAATACATAACCACCTCATTAAACAATGTATCATACAAGGCCATAAGACTATTTTGTCCAACAGCTGCACATGCCTTTCCATCAAGTTCTACTTGCGGCTTCTGAAGATCAGCAAAGCTACAAAACATGAGACAAGAATGAATAAGAATAATATCAAGGAAAAAGAAATTATCAAAGAAAAATACCCAACTATTAATAGTTTCCCCTCTTTTCTTTTTTAGATGCATGGCAACAATGTCCATTTTTAGGCTCGAAATATAGAGGCATAAACATCACTATTCAGAGCTGAAAAAGAAAACACAAAAACCTGCTGTTGACTAGTTTCCTGTATCTAAGCCTTTGGCGACCAAGGCCTACAGCACCTGATGTCACCAAAATAACCTCATATCCTTGGGAGTTCAATTCTTTAAGCTGCACATCATTTGAAACTTTACCCATGTTACTGTAAGGCAAATAAAGCAATAAGTGTAACCTCCCAGAGCTCCATTCATAATGATGTTTAAAACAAATAGCATACCTGCTCACATAGTGCTCCAAATCTTCCAAGTGCTAATCGACCATCATTTCGAGTAACAACAGCAGTCCCAACCTTCAATATTAGTCAGTTCACTCATTTATCAGAACTCCAACTTTCTAAAACATTTAGTTCTCTCTCAATCAGAGCATGTGCTAAGATGTTTATTCCATAACTACTATATCCAAAGGAGTGTTCCTGTTCCAAATCAACCGATAAAAAAAACAGAAAGGGCCCACTTTGGTTGCAGAAAATGACAACAATTTCCTATCTGAACATCAAATTTTCAAACACAAATAGACATCACTTTCAACCATGCACTTCAGGGTAATTTCCAATGATTAACAAACCCACAATTAAAAAAAAAAAAAACTTGATTCTGTTAAAATGGTCTTTAAATAAAAAAAAAAACTACTTTTTTCCAAATTCTAAAAGAAGCAAAATGTGATTTTTAGAGTATCAAAACTACCCATTTTCTTATTAAGAAAAATAAAAAAATTGATCAAAACCTTTATTTTCTTTTGCAAATCCACGCCTTTCTAGTAACCAAACACTCCAAATTAAAATGACCATAAAAATCCATTAAAAATAGAATTACAAAAAAAAAAACCCAACTTTAAATCAATTTAATCGCTTTTATTTAATTAAACTCATTAACAGTCAAAATTAAAACAATGTTTATAAGAAAAAAAAAAACAGAGGAAAAAAGAACTAAACCTTGATGACGAGACGCTTAACGTCTTTAACAAAAGCTCGAGAACCATCCATATCAGCCATTGTTTTCAAAAATCCGGGCAAGCCGTGTCGCTGACTCACTGTTTCTCCACTTTCAATTCGCCACAAAATAAGATGTTTGATAAGGCTTAAGTTTAGGCTTTTTTTTTTTTTCAAAAGGCGTTTGATAGCGTTTAAGTTTACCCCTTTTGAGCTGAGAAATATTAATATGTTTCAGTTTGTATTAGGATGAATCATCTTGAAGCAGTAGGAATTCGCCACCTGGTTAAACGAATGGGATGGCAAGAGAGTTGGGCTTAGAGAAGCGTGCAAAATATTGGCGGCTGAGGAAGCACTTAGCAAAGGGCCCACAGGCGACAAAAGTTTTAGATCCTCGCTCAGTGGTTGCATGTGAGTTGGATTCTTTTCTAAAATTTTCATTTTTTAAAATTTTATTTTAAAAAAAGTTTTTTCTTAAATCATAATATTAAATAGGATAAATTGTATATTTTTATACTATTTATTTCGTATAGAATATTTATAAAATACAAAATTTTCATTTATACTAATAAATCAAATATGAACCATTTTTTTTTATTTTTTTAATTCATATATAATTTTTATTAAAATTTTAAATTATATATTTTTTATTATATATTTGTGTCATATTTAAAATTATAAATCAAATAAAAATATACTTTTAAAAAATGGATAAAAACTCTATTTTAAACTAAAAACTTTATCATAATCCTTTTTGAATTGTTCAAATTAAGATGTTGTCTTGTGCTTAAACTTTCAAAATAACAACCAATATGTAGATAACGTTCTCTAGTTTTTGGTCATCACAAAAGATAAAGCGTCTATCAACTCAATCATGTTTGGTTCATAGAATCTGAAAATATGTTAAGCACTTGAAAATTGTCCAAGTATTGTTTTTTATTCTAAAGCGAAAATTTTTTTTGTAGTCGATCTGTGACCCTGGGTGCTCTTGATAGCAAATACTTAAATATAGACCAAAAAATCAAAAATAGAACATTATGATATAACATGAGTATAATATAAAAATAAAATTATTACGATTTAAAAATTTTAATAATAATTATATATGAATTTATAAAACTAAAAAAATATATTTCATATTTTCATATTGACACAAATTATAATGTATAATTCTTTTGTAAAACAATTATAATTATATAAATTTTAATATTTTACATAATACAAATACACGAATCATTAAGTCTACTTAAATAGTCAAGAGAAATATGGTTCATTTTTGGGCAAATGAAATAGTCTACTCTACCCAGAAACTTCATGCCAATGACTGTTTATGTTTCAAAGGAACCTAATTTTTGACACAAAAATTTGCTTTACTACATTCGGTAACAATTACAGATTGACAAAAAGAACCATGACAACCTTTATTTTTACACAACCATGTGCAAATGAGATGATTTCTTCAAGGATTTAAAATGTTACATTGACATTTACTCTAGTTGCTCTCATGATGTTGGTCTCTTAAAAGTTGTAGTCCAACAACACCTAGTCAATTAGATCAACTGACTCCGAAACCAAATTAGTGGCGTTTGCTAAACCTGATTAAAAACATCGACTCATAGAACTCACTTCCATTACATGTTTCAAATTTGTCGCTAAACTATGACTCAACAAGTAATAAATCCCAAAACACAGAAGCTTTTCTTTGAGACACATTTCGTTCAAACTAATCTCCTTTCACATATTTCCCAAAAACAGAGTAGACACAGCAAAGTTTGGGTTTTAGGTGCTCAGATAGACCACATAGTTTATGGAAAGAACCAGACCTTGATGAAGATTGCGAGGGCCATTTGCAACAAGAATGAAGCAACCACCATCATTGGAAGATCGTTCCCCTCAATATAAGATCTTAAATTCAATGCAACAAAGCATGCTGAGGCAGTACCAGCAATGAGTATAATGATCCATCGGAGAATCTCAACTGGAATAAGCAGTATTAACTGCAAATATGTCATATAATATAGCTCAGATGATTACTAAAGAAATAATGAATAACCAATAAATTTGAGCTTCATATTGTAAGTTGAATAGAAAAGCTTCATAAGGATGCAGAATATAACCCTTTGTGATCTAAATTTGCTCACCAATTAACCAGGAATATCAATGAATATGCTATCCGTTGGGGTTTAATACTTCAGAATTTGATTTAAGGTTCTCTCATCCATAGAAATGAAGAGAGGATAATTAACAAGAAGATAGCATTTTGGACTTGAATGGTAAAATTAAAACAAGTTTGGAGAGAACGAAGGGGGGAGGGGGTTGGTGGAATTTTTTCCTTTAAAAGAGACAAAAACTTACTGCAGTTGGGATGAAAATGGACAGCGAATAACCCCACATGCACCAAAATCTTATAAGGCTTGCATTTGAACCCAGATACCGAAGCAAGAAGTAAAATGCCATTGGCACCACAACTGCATAACCATAAACTCCACAAGCTGCTACATTTACATAGCTGACATCAAAGCTCCAAGAAGTAGAACTATCACTGTGCTTTTGTGTAAGGTATGTGGCACAGTTTCCAAAGGAAGCAAGCACAAAGACCAAAGTAGTTGTGATCCAGATAAGCCCATACCTAACATTTGGCAAAATCAAGACCAATAAAATAAATTAACAAATAATCATGAAAATTACCACACATTAATTCATCACTATCTAGTTGTAGCTGTTACATCATCAAGATTTCTAAATGATTAGATGGATATTTCATTACATCATAGTAACAAGGAATTCAATTTTCTCATGGCGACAAAACAAGGACCATGTACCCGTTAGTTTTAGAAAGCCATCAGATAAGGATTTACTGCTTTTATCCTAGCATTATACATTAAACAATACCTTGATTGACTTACAAGAAAATACCCTTTGATTGAAGGCAGACTATCTCCCTTTCAAACAACTCATTGAGAGTCTCTTGTATAAGAAAAATAAAAGGCTAAAAATCCAAACTAAGTACAAAATTCGAGTGTACTTTAACTTCCATAAAACTATTAAGATCAAATGAATCTATCTCTTGTCTTCCTATTTTCTTTCTTAAAAATGGCTTCTTTTTATCGGTCTATTTGCAAAGATGACCAATTGACCACAAATGCAAAGGGTACGACTAAGATAAGAATTATAGACAATGACGAAATAAACAGGCAACCGATGCGTGCTTGCATCTTTTGAATTACTGCCGGCCTTTATTCCCTTTAGATAAAAACCAAATGCACTAGTCATGTTTAGTAAAATTTCTTTTTGGATAATTAAATGATTTTATATATCCAAAAGAAATTGAAATATTGTTATATCAAAATTGCTCTAGCTAATATAGCCAGCATACAAATAATCAAACATAAAGAGTAGAGCCGTTTAAACCACAAGCTATGCAAAATGTTGTTATTAACACAATCTGTGGTTAAATGAGGCAACCCTGTTGTTAACCTCAATCGGACCACTTCTTTGATATGACTAAGAACTTGCTCGAAAGAATCAGTAAATCAAATAAATCAAAACACGCCAGGTATATGTTGAACTTATGACTTTCCGTTTAGGAAACAGACGCTCTATCTGCTGAGCTACAGATGCTTTGTTTCATGTTTAGTATGCTTCCTTCAATGCTTCTCACAGTCTTCTTGTAACAATTCATGTCAAAATAAAGAACCAAATGACTAAACTTTCTTAGTAAGTTTATGAATATGACAAGTGAATTCGGGTCTTGACTTCAAAAAAGATTGTTTCTTGCAAATGAAAGAATGCCTAGGTAAATGGATGCTTTGAATGCTTTCAATCCTACTTTTCATCTCAATTTATATTGACTAGAGATAATATGCTTTTATGAGGTCTAAAACACAAGAAAATAAACTTTTCTCCTCCAAAGGGTAACTTTCCATTCCAAAAATAGAATGATGAAGCTTTAACAAAAGCAGCTTTTTCATCCATATTATATAATGTCTCATTCTATGATACATTGGTGGCAAAAGAAGAATAAAGGGGTGGGTAGGAGGGGGGGAAGCATACTCACAGATCAGGGTTTGCATCAATCTTGCTGAAAAAATCTCCACCAATAGGATAAAAGGAACTTATCAATCTGTTTATGACAACATCTGTATCCACATTAAAATACTGTGTGTATGACGAGATACTAAACACTCCCTTCCAGTTGTTTGGTGGCTGTTGTTCAAATACTTCTGCGTAGGATAGACAAAGGGATCATTAAGCATTACAATACTGCCATCATGAAGTACATCTAACTGTGACACCAGTAACTCGGCCACAATATTCTTAGGCGTTTTAGAATGTGAATGCAAAATCATTAGTCTACAACTCTACATTCCTAAGAAGAGGCACACACAAACACACAACAAAATAAATAAGGAGAGAATGCTCAAGGAAAGTTCAAAAATATAAACAGAACCACCCAAAGGATATATGCATCAGGAGAAGGTTCATTTCATAACCTCCTTTTAACAATATTCACCATGGACTCCGTTCCACATAAAGAAATTAGTAACTATCAAAATAGCCAGTAACTATTCCATAAAGTAAATGAAAACATAAGAGTAAATTGCAATGTACACTATTCATTCAACTTAAAGTGCATCGAAAATAACAACCTTCGTTGCTAAATTTCCCTAGCATACCGGATGTAACTTTGAATAAGTAAAACCACTCAGTTCAATGACCAAATCTCCATATCTTAACACTAGATGTCATGACTTTGAAAGTTTCTCTCTCCTTCAGTTATTATCTATTTGGAAAGAATAAAGTTTCCTTACTAAACCATTCTTTAAGCCTTTTTTTTTTTATTAAGAATAACTCATTAAGCCATTAATCATTGCAAATATAGCAGAATTATCAATTTTATCACATCAATAGCAAAAATAATTACTGTCTAATCATAAAAGTACAGAGTAAGAAAAAGAAAGACTGATAAATTTAGCTAAGTTTTTCTTATACGGCAAGAAAATAAATTAAAAGAAAAAAAAACACATACCAGTTGGAGCTCCAAGAGTTTGATAACCTCCGCCGCCATTACTTGGCGGGAAAATTTGCATATTCGCTCCAGGAACTGCACAATTTCAAAATAAATATATAAAAACAAAATCGAAATTACTGTAAACAAACAAACTTTTTCATATGCTGAAAATAAAAAGAATAGGACCTTCATACGAGGCCTTCTTTTCTTCATTAAGAACAGCCTGGGATTCGAATGAAATTTGAAATTAATTCACATGAAAAACATCGATCTTGATGATTTGATTCAATAAAAATGAAATAAAATGCTATAAATTAACTGAAAAAAATAAAGGAAAAAATATTAAGCAGCTTACGGGAACTGAGCCGAGTAAATGAGTTGTAGCAAGATTTGAATACGATGATTGCTCCATTGAAAATAAGAGATCGAACTGAGAAATTAACAGGAAGAGTGCTTTTTTTAGGAAAGAACTGAGGAATTCTCTTTCAATGGAGAAAACAGTGCGTTTTGACGTAATTTGGAAGCAACGGAGATGACGAGGGAAGGAAATGCTTGACTGAACGGTACACTACTGGCTGCTCTCTCTCTATCTTGGCACGCGCGTTTGGAAGAGCTGAGTTTCACGTGTCGGTTGCTTTTCGTTTTTCCGGCAGGGTTAACTTGTTTGGGCTAATATGGGCCTACTTGGTTGATTATTTTTGGTTTTTGATGGGCTTTTTATTGACAAATAGGGCCACGAAACTTTAATCAACTGTTCCAACTGATCCAATTGATCCATCTAGATCAGTTTTTTAATCACTATAAATAACGTTTTTTTTTTTTTTTTTTTTCTCTTATTTATAAAATTATTTTAAAATATTTTGACTAACAATGTATAAGTTTATTGATAATTTGAGATATTTATTGAAAAAATCAAAATAATTAAGAAAAATATAATAAAATTTAAAGCAAAAAGCTTTAAATAAATAGAAATATTCTAAAATATAAGAAAATGAAAAATGAAAAAAATAATGAACATAAAATGTCATATTAGAAACCCATATATCTCCAAACCTTTAAAAACATTTAAAAATTAAGATATCCATAAATTTTTAAATAATTAAAAACTTTAGCACAAAAAATAAAATGAAATACAAAAAAAAAATGAAACAATACAAAATCGAAATAAATCTCAATGAGAAAAAAGACTATAAAAAACAAAAATATTCATATGTGAAGACAAAATAGGAAAAAAAAATCCTTAAAATTTTGAAAATCCCTCTTACCTCTTTGTACATAGGACTCTATATTGTTTATTGAATTTATTCGTGTGTGTTTTCGTTGGGTGATTGGAAATTTATGGAAAGGTTGTTTGGGTGACTGATTTGAAAATTATAATGATATATCACAAAGAAAATAATTAAGAAAGTATCGAAGGTAGGTTCAGAACGTTTTTTAACGTTCAAATCAATAATATATTATTGAATTCTTTGTTACTATGATGTAATGAAAGATACATCTGATCATGTAGAAATCTTGAAAATTTAACAGCTACAACTAGATAGTGATGAATTAATGTGCTGTAAATTTCATGATTATTTGTTAATTTAGCTTGTTGGTCTTGATTTTAGCCATATGGTCTTTTAAAATTAAGGATGCTTCCAAAAGGATTGAGGTATATTATGGCTCTCCTAGAAATGAAATTAGATTAGATGAAAAGGATTCAAGGGCTTTAAAACATGAATGCTTTCTTTTAACCTTTACATGTTATTCTATAGGCTTTAATGCTTGCTTTAATTTGTATCTATCATTTACTTGGTTTTATCATGACTTTCACGCTTGATGAGAACCTATGCCAGTCGTGCTAATTGCTTGAGTTAGAAGCATGTTTAGATATATTTTCTTGGATTTATAAAATTTAGTAACCATGTGATGGAAAGCACAATCAATGCTTTTGAAGTTCAGGAAAATCTGGTGTGATAGGGGATTGATTACAGTTCAAGTGATTTAAACAAATTAATTATAGGAGGAATATATTGCCCTTTCAATGTCCTAATGACTTCAATGAAGGAATCGCATTATTTGTGGACAGTCTACCCTGAGTTGTTTCTTATGAATCGAGCCATGAAGCGACTATTGTTCCTTTGAAACATTATTTGTGGTTATGAAATTGAGTAAAGCATATCTATCCTGAGTTGTTTCTTATGGCAGTGAACATTTTTTTTTTTTCAGAGTAATCAAGAAATGAGGTTGAATCTTCCTATGCGCTTATACTTCTACCTACATTTTTTTTTGTGCAATTGCAAACAGCATTGGTTCATTGTCTTTTCCGAGTGAGGCAAACTCTCTATGCTTTTCAACTGCCTGCTAATGGGCTTCCTAGCTTCTGGGGTTGTCGGTTTAGGTATACACTTTCCATAATGCAGTTCGAAATAGGCCTAACTACAGATCCAAATGAAGTATTGTTTTTGTAACAATATGAGACAAATCCAACCAAAACATTACACCAGATCAAAATTTTCAATTTTGCCCAGATTCGTTTTTCCCCAGTGTGTGCTTCATCCAATATGTAAACTACATTTTGGAAAATTTTTAGAGATTGGGTTAGTAATTTCTTTGGCTTTTTTTTTTAGTTGTGATCCTATATATGCTTGATTTCTCCTAAAGCAGGGAACATATTGACTATTGCAAGTAAGTTGTCTTCATTTAATTCTACAAAAATGGAGAAAGGAAATGGAAGGGTATTTTGTTTCTAGCCCAGCATGCTTCTTTTTCAATTCTGTAAGAAAATTAATCTGTTGGGAAGGGTATTGCTCTGATTCGAAGTAAACTGCTGTGTCCCCTGCTAAACTTTTCAAGTAAAAAAGCAAGCTTGCTTCTTTGAGAATTTATTGGGGTATTGCAATGGTTAGCTAGAAATGCTTCTAATATAGCAAGGAAAGATCAAATGCATAAAATCTAGAAAAGGAATAAAAAAAGTAGGGCAATGAGGGAAGAATCTCCATATTCTTAAGCAAAGAAGGTAGATAAAGAAGGAAGAATCACCTTTTGCTTTTTCCTGTCCAATGTTAAAAGCCACCGGGCCTCACCACAGAGAACATAAATTTAAAATATTAGATAAAGAGGAAGAAAAAAAAGGGATTATAGAACGATATCAATTTACGCAAAGTCTAGTTTCTCAGCTAATACTTCGAAATTGAGATTGTGCAGACACAGGCGGATCATTTTGCAATCCTCGAAGAAGAAGAAGAAAAGTAATTTGGACTCCGTTTTCAAATTGAAGGAGAAATGGAAGAGGCTATTGTGTCCTTCGCTATTGAAAGAATCTCGGATTTACTCATTCATGAAGCAGTTTACCTGGGTGGAGTTCGTTAGGAAGTGGAGCGGTTAAAGGCTGAAATAAATCGGATGCAGTGCTTCTTGAAAGACGCTGACCATAAGCAAGAACAAGACAAGCGTCTCCGCAATCGAGTGGCGGAAATTAGAGATCTTGCTTACGATGCTGAAGATGTTATTGACGCCTTCATTCTTAAAGTTGCACATCAAGGAGGCTTTCATGGAATCATCAAGAGATTCACCTCCATTTTAACCAAGCCTTTTCATTTGCACAAAATAGGGGCGCAGGTCAAAGCAATCCAGACTAAGCTTGAAGATATTTCCAAGAGTCTTCCAGCTTATGAGATATCTGGTGAACGAAAGGAGTCTAGCTTTATTTCCAGAATGCAGCAGCAGCAGCGGTTAAGAAGAAACATGTTGAGGAAGTGAATGTTGTCGGCTTTGAGGGCATGACAAGGAATGTTTTGCCTCGGTTGATGACAGAAGAAGTAGAAGATAGGGCTCATGTGGTTGTTTCCATAGTCGGAATGGGGGGCATAGGTAAAAGCACTCTTGCAAAACAAGTATACAATCACATTGATGTGAGACGACATTTTGATTGTTTTGCTTGGGCTTTTATTTCTCAAAAATGTATGCCACGAGAAGTTTTGCTTGATGTCCTCATAAAAGTTCTTTCTCCTTCTAAAGGAGAAAGAGAGCTAATTGATAAACTGACGGAGAATGAATTGATAAAAAGACTTTTTGATGTCTTTAGAGATAAACGGCATTTGGTAGTCCTTGATGATATCTGGAGAAGTGAAGATTGGGATTATCTTAAACCTGCTTTTCCAAGAGGGAAAAGAGGAAGCAAAATTTTATTCACAACACGAAAGAAGGAAGTGACGTTACTTGCAGATCCTTGCAACTCACCAATAGAGCTTCCACTTCTTACAGATGAGGAAAGTTGGAAACCTTTTTAAGAGGAAAGCATTCCCTGGAAATACAACTGAGTCTGATGCTCGTTCAAGAGAATTTGAGATGCTAGGAAGAGAGATGGTGAAAAAATGTGGAGGGCTACCTCTGGCAATTGTTGCGTTGAGAGGCTTGCTAGCAACTAAACAATCACAGGCTCAGTGGGAGATGATTCAAAGAAACATGCATGCACACTTAAACAAGGTGCAACAGCAAGACCATCATTATCGTGCAGTGAATGGGATTTTGGTTTTAAGCTACAATGATTTGCCTTATTATTTAAAACCATGCTTCCTATATCTTGGTCATTATCCAGAAGATTGGGAGATCTCAAAGAAGAAGCTCATTCGACTGTGGATTGCTGAAGGTTTCATTTCACCATCAGTGGAAAGCGGAGGAATGTCGATGGAAAATGTTGCCGAACAATTCCTGGAAGAGCTGATAAATAGATGTTTGGTTCAAGTTGGCAAAAGGGACCGTACAGGAGTAGGTGCGAAAACATGTCACATACATGATCTCTCGAGGGACTTGTGCGTGGAGAAAGCTCAAGAGGAGAATTTCTTGGAAATTATTCAGCCAAGTGATGTGACTTTGTCGGCATCTATTGCACGAAGAATTGCTATTCATCCTACCAAAAGGTATGTTTCTTTGAAGGGAGAACATCCAAAATTACGTTCTTTGTTGCTCTTTCAAAGTGAGGAATTGATAAAATTGCACATTTCAAAATGCAAAAATTTCAAATGTTTAAGAGTCTTGAAAGTTGTGAAAAAGAATGAAGACAAGTGGCATGTGTCAAGTGTAATTAGTAATCTACATCATTTGAGATATTTGGGGTTAAAATGTTTTGGAAATATCATCTTGCCGCGATCTATTGAGAAGTTGAAGAGTTTACACACTTTGCACGTCCAAAGTATTAGATTAACAATAAATCCTAAAGTTCTATTCAATATGGAACGCTTAAGGCATATTTTGTTACTTGATTATTCTGGAGGACCTTTTGTCCTCACTGAATTTTGGATACCGCCAAGGATTACTTCAAAAAATATTGAAACTTTAAAGTACATTGGGGTTGAGAATTTAATTGAAATTAATGCAGTGTTGGGCATGGCTAATATTCAGAGTTTAGGTATATATTTTAGGAGATCAAAAGATGTTGAGCCTATCCTAAAAGCACTGGTCGATCACACCGCCTTCGGTCATTGGACATGAGGTTTCCTAGGGCGGATTCAAGCCAATCATTTCCAAACTTGAACCCCTTTCTCAGTTTCATAACCTCTCCAAACTATTCTTAAAAGGGAGGATAGAAGAAGATCCGCAATTGAGGCATCATGTTTTGAAATTTCTTCCAGCAAACAT